TGCTATTATTATAGACCAGTTAGGGTATTTGGACTAAGAATAAGAAGCTGGAGAGGGAAGAAATCCCAAAAGAGAAGGCTCGATGCCAGAGCTGGGTTTTATACCTAAACCACAGGCGACAACCAGTGACAGCCAAACCCGTGAATGGGATGACCCGATTGAACAGCACCCATGTGAATGGGAGCCTTGAGGGCAGGCATGTGACAGCCCAGATGGTGCCAGTCGTCACAAGTATTATTTAAGTATATTGTGATCTTTAGGTGGCTATCCTGTACTAAGGCTACTGCGACCTTAAGTCCGTAGCAGGCCGTCTGAGTAGACGACTACCTCTCTAGGGTCTAGCCAAAGGAGCCACTCTCGGAACTCCTCAGCCGCACGGCATTCATTGTTCGACATCGAAAACACCATCTTACATCCAACAAACACGATGTTTACAATAACCACACATTGGCTACACCTTACTCTTTAGACTATAATCTACATGTCAAAACCTTCATCGTCTCCAGCATGCTGACAGGAATGTTCTTGTCAGATTCCATCATGGCGTCTAGTATGTTGCTGTTGCCGCCATGGGAGTCGGTGACGATGGTACCAACTGAAAACCCATCCACGTGGGTATTTTGGTGAAACAGCTTCACAGGTGGCTTGACCTGCAATGGATGGCAGAATATTGAGGCAAGAGGGCCAGAGATGCACTACGAGAAGAAGTATTATGCCCGGACAAGATCGTGACGAGAAATAAGAGCCGCGAGCTGAATGCAATGTAGATTAGTGACAATGGGGCGGGGGTTGTTGTTATTATTAACGTCTACTTCCGTTTCCCGTAAAGGGGCGGGGGTTGTGTTGAATGGGAAGTCGCAGAGAGCCAACAAGAGTGAAGGGGAGAAGTCCAGTGAAGGGTATCCAACGCAGCTTCCCGAAGGAACAGTTGCAAGGAAATTACAAAGCCACATTGAGAAGGGACTCCCGTCAAACGGCCCCAGAAGTGGAGTTGTTTCTCACATGCATCCTCGAGACATCAAATCTTTCTGATATCTATTGTCCATTCGGGAGTCAGGAGAAGGTAAGCCGTGGACGGAAGTGATACTCGCCTGGGTTCGAACGCCTCTGACTCGTGGTTAGTTTTGGTTAATAGTCTGAGTCGCTTCGGGCCCAGATGAGCACAGGCGGTTTCTCCAGGGACCCATGCGCTTACTTAACAGTTGTTCTCTTCCAAGTGGTATGATATATGAAAGACACACATCCTGATGGTCCGATGTCTCTCGCCGCCCTGCAACATGGAGACTAAAGAAAGGCATCCGGGGCAGGAGCAGAAGACGAAGCCTGACGAATAGGTGACTATGGCAAGCACGCTTTAACCCAGCAACCGCAGACGGCCATCGCTCTTTCTCTGCTTTATCAACGTACAAGTAGCGGAGCAACTGTATGATCGGCCGTACATGCCTGGAGAGAAACTCCGCTGGCAACTCTACATATTGAGAAATCACAAAGAAATCTGATCTTCGTTCCTGACCATTTGAATGATATCGTTAATTGGCAGCAGAACGCTGAAACACAAGCGGAGAAAGCGTCAAGTTTGGCTACTATCAAATGGAGTGAATCGTCAGTTGTCCATTGGTAGGGGGTACCGAAGTAATTGTGCGCTTGTGCTTTCGTTGAGGCTGAAATACCTACACGAATGTGTCAGTTTACTCTTTCCTTTCAAAACAGAAGAAAAAAAGGAGCCACCCGCTCCTTCGAGTGCTATCCAGACACTCAATGGCCATGTAACTTCAGGATAGCTTGGGCTTGTAAACTACTGACAAAAGTGGAAGTCGCCTTCTGGACCCATGCTTTCAGCTGCAGTGATTGAAGAAAATATTGACCCTAGCTCGTGAAACGAATTCTGGCCATCACAGCAAAAATGGACGAGTTTGTGTGATTTATTGCCTGGAAACACATACATCTTGGAAGGAGTGATAGGGCTCAAGCAATTCTTGATGTGATAGATGACCAGACCACAGTCGAGTGCCGGCATCATCTCAGGTTATTTCGCCAAGTCTTTAAGAACCCGTCACTCCTTCCTGGCTGTCAGTTTCCTCTTCTTCACCCCCCTCACCTAATTTTCCCTCATACCTTCCTCGTCACCCACGCCCTTCTCTAACACAACCCCTCATCACCCACAAACCTCTCCTTCCCCCTCCTCACAAACCTCACCGGCACATGTCTCCCACCCGTCAACTTGAGCGTAACAACCGACTTGGCCTGCAGAACCGTGTCCTTCGCCTTCTCCTGCGCCTTCTTATACACCTCCCTCTTCTCCTCCACTCCCATCTTTTGTATTTCTTCATCACCGCCCGGTACCCACTCATCCACCGCCAACTCAACCGAGTATTTCTGGAACATCACCGCCATAGCAGCGACCATCTCCACCATGGCAATCCTCCTCCCCCAAGCAGGAACGCGCGCCGTCAGAGAAGGGAATAAAGGAGCCGCGAACGGGCCGGAAAAGGGTGGGGGATGTGTCGAGGCCTTGGTAGCCGCCGTAGTTCTCTTCCTCTTCCTCAACAGTGGATTGTTGTTGTCCCTGATCTTGACCAGGAGAAGGCAAATACCACCTATCAGGTAACCACTCATCCAAATCTCCCGCGTCCCCTTCCTGCTTCGTTTTGTCGAGGGCAGGCCAAAACCGCTTATTCCTCTGGACAGCTGAAATAACAGGCATGATGGGCATCATAGCTGGCATATGATGTCTTTGTCCATCTGTTTCATCTTGTAACCACTGATCCGTATCCGCCACTCGCTTGGGCGTGACCACCACGGGCGGAATCAGCCGCAGGGTCTCGTTGATCACCGCCCCGATGTAACTAGCTAACAAGGCGTTGATGTTCTTCTCGTAGTCCCACGTTTCCGGATCGGAGTCCCGGCCGAAAATGGCGTCGATGTCGCGCTGCACGCGCCGCTGCGCTTCGGGGTGGATGGCCAGCTCGATAAGCGTAAAGTGCGTGACGTTGGCGGTGGTCTCGTGGCCCGCGAGGGTCATGATGAATGCGTTACCCATGATTTCGCTGTCTTCCAACTTCCATGTCGAGTTTGTTGCGCTGTCGTTCTTCTCGAGAGAAGAAGAAGAGGAAGAGATGTCATACTTGCTCCTAACAAGCTGACCCATGATATTCATCCCCTCCTTCTCCTTTCTTCCCGCGCGAATATCCTCCACTTTTTCGGCCAAAAAGGTGTTCATGTACTTGGTATAGTTGACTTTGGCCTCCCACGCCTCGTGCATCTTCGCGCCAATTCTGCCCCACGAACGTGGAATCCGCTTAAGAACCGCCGAAGGGACCAGCAATATAACCAAGATCCTCTCCAAAACCGTCGCCAACGAATCCGCAAACGTCATCGAATACCCTGCCGGCGGCTCCAAACTCCCGTACTTGGCCAGCTTCGGGTCTACGTCCGTCGGCATCGACTCGTGCGGCCAAATCAGCCGAAGTCCAAAGCCGACGTACCCGATGATGTTGAGTGCCCAGCGCATGGTGTCGTGTTCCAGAGTCGTGATTGTGCCCGTCATTTCTTTCTCCTTCCCTTCATTCTGCCCTCCGTTCTCCTCTCTATGCTGTCCCCCATTTTGCTCACCAGAAGAAGCAAACCACCCCCCAACCATCCCCTTCGTCTGCCTCACCGCCTCCCTAAACGTAAACCCCGCGTTCCGTTCATTGAAACTCGCACTAGTAACCTTGCGATGCATCCTCCACACCTGCCCTTCCGTCGTCACAACATTTGACCCAAAAATTTCCAGTATTCCATACTGTCTCGTATCCTTGGGAAACGCCTCCCGCCGACTCATCACCTGGTGAATGACCCCCGCATCCCTAGTATAGCAGCACAGCCCGTTCCAGCTGGCGGCGATGAACGTGTCGCTCCCGACTTGCTGCTGCGCAAAGTGTCGGCTGGGCGAGGGGTGGTATTCCCAGTCGGGAGTCATGACGAAGAGCCAGGGGTGGATGTGGCTGGAATAAACGGAGGCGGGGAGGAGGAAGGAGAGAAAACGGGTGAGGAGGGGGAGGAGGAAGGTGCGAGTTGTGAGCCAGAGTGGGGAGAGGGGGTAGATTGCTGATGAATGGTTAGTTATCTGTGGTCTTTTGGTAAGGTGGAGAAGGGAGGGAAACGGGAGGTGAAGATGGATGGACTTACGGGTAATAAGAACGGGATATCCAGCTTTACGCGCTTTGGCGATATTGGTTTTGAAGCCCGTGTAGATCTTGTAGGCCGCTGCCCATGCTACAAAAAGCCCGGAGAGGGCGAGGAGGATGTTGAGTCTCATGGTTAGGTTGCTATGCTAAAACAACACAACACAACGCAACACAAGGAATCTACCAATGGTTGAGAGAACTGTTGATAGCCAGTATCAAGCAGGTTGAAGGAGGGAAAGTGCCGGTTTATTATGAGAAAATGTGAAGATCGTTCGTTCATTGTTGGAAGTTTTCCATGGGCGGGCGAGATGGGATATGTGTGGTGCCTATCAATGTCACAGTAGCCAGGCCAGGCCGGGTAAGAACTAGTGTAAGAAGAAGGTCCAAGCGGAGTCGGTCGGAGATCCGGGACCCGGGACACTAGTTCTAGTCTAGCGCATGAATAACACCTTGAACGATGGGATGGCAACTCTCAACTCTGAAGGCTTGGTACGTGTTCGCGTATAACAGATACTTTCCTTTTTGGGGTCTTCTTACTTGAATACTGGGGTTCTGATTGATTGGTTTACCGATTAAGTAAACTAGCGGAAATATGTCAAAGTCTGGTACACTACCTGACTACTTAGCAACAATGTTGCGGTTTGCGCCACCCACCGACCAGCTATGGTATGGGACAGATATTGGACGGCAGGACGGCAAGCCGGGAGATTGATTGAGCATGGCGAGCGTGTATGTGGCCGGTTGCGGTTATTGCCCCTGGGCCTTGCTTGACCCGTCTAACCCGCCAATGTCTGCTCCGACACAGATTCCGTCTCTTCTGATCTCATCCGCTGGCTGGGCTGGTTGAGTAACGTCGTGACAACGGTGTAGGATAGTCTCGAATCTCAATGACATGGAATGGAAGAAGCAAAGTGAAAAACTGCCAACGAAAAAAAGTAAAATAGCGGCAGCGGGTCTTTCATTTCCAACCAACACGAAGGTGTGGCTCTTTGGCCGTGTCTCTTGACTGGTTAAACCAACTCCAAGGTGTCCTATCCGTCGCAGATGTACACTATTCGCGTCGTCCTCACCCAATTGAACGGTGACGTCGCAGTGGTGATAGAGAACATGGGAAAGAAACAAGAACTTGGCTCCAAATGGAAAAAAGTGAAACACGGATACTACTGGTCGGAAACTCGGAACCCCCTCTCGCCCCTGCCAAGAAATCAACATTGTGTGGAACGGGGACGGTCAACGGCTGGTGACATCTCACGAATCCTTCTTATTCGGAAAAGGGAAAAGAGGCTTGCAGTTGTTCCTCCGAACGGGAGGACACGACGGGAGCCGTGCCGCTTCCGACCTTCTTTCGCAGACTCTCCCAGCAGCAGCTGGACGTTTCGACTGCGGGTTGGTGGTGTGCAGTTGCGGTGGTTGTGGTTGTGGGAGTGCAAGATCGAATCGCTCGTTGCTGGTCAATCTTGCAGAAGCTTGGACATGTAAATGAAGTAAAATGTAACTTTAGCAGCTTCCAAACTTACACCACACTGTGTACGAATACGGCTGACAGTGCCAACCTTTCCTATCAAACTGTCAACGGCCTGAAGACGGGGGTATTCCCGGCAGGCAGTCCGGTCTCGCCCCACAGCCCTTCGTCCAATCATGAGCTTCAACACAACGACACTCCAATGTCTTGCCGTCGACAACAGCAGGGACACTCGACAAGTTTCGACGTACAGACACGTCAGAAAGCTTGATTTAACGGTTAATAACTCTTTTAGAATCAATCATGGCACTCATACAAACAGAGGTCTATCATCCGGAGTCCCCGCCCGAACTTGGAGCCCAGAATGAAGATGTGTCGTTATTTCGTTGTTTCGTTTCGTTTTCTCCTCGGCCCTCTCAGGTCGGCCGTCGATCATCAAGATCTGTGTAAGCTGCGGGCGGGGCTTCTGATGTTCTGTATCGATGTCGGGCTGTGAAGGAGGGCGGCCTGGCGGGGAAGAGGGTCTGATGAGCTCAGACGACGTCTCGTCTACGACATCAGTTGACACAAGTTCGTGTCATGCTCGCTGCACAGACTCGAGCCATGACATGCGTATGCCGGCACAGGCTTCTACATGCGGCGCTCGTGCGTACGTTTAGCGTTGAAATGAGCAGGTTAAGAGGCTTGAAGGACAGACGGCAGGTACCTAGGTTGTATTGGATGGGGGTAAAGTGAATGGCATCAGAACGAAATTTTGGAAAAATGCTGCCTGATTACGTCAGGTTTCCTGTTCAAAAGGCCTCGAGGAGTCTCGCCTTAGCATCTGTACGAGTTGGTAATCGATACCGTTTGGTTGGCTGTTTGTCCATGAATGAGCGTTGTCATATCTTGGCTAACTGCTCATCAAGTTAGCTCACGCTCCAAGCCCGACGTTTGTCGTTGGTTGAAGTTGAAACATTCATCCGGACTGAATGTTGTGCTGTCCTTTTCCCGAAAAGATCAGCGCAATTTGCGATTGCGTCCATAGTCGACGACCCTTCCTGTCCTTTGGGTTCTCATCCGGTCTGGTCTGAATAGCGGCGTTGGGAGAGGCATGCAACTCCCGTTACTGTCTGCTCGTCTGGTCTGATGATTATGGCGGGAAGCAAAAGCATCGTTGTCAGGTCGGTGGAGCAATGCCGTAGAAAGATGGGCGGTTGCGTTGAGTAGGTACACATGCTAGTTGCATGTCTGGCTGCCTGGTCGGAAAAAACAAGCTTTAATGTTCGTGCAAGAACTTGAAGCAAGCAAGCCACACAGCTGTTAGGTAACCTGCCTGGCTTGAGTGAAGTTGTCATCTGTGCAGTAAATGTTCCTTACTTAGCTGCTGGTATGGAAATTACTAACCTCGGGGCTGTCCAACCGTCGCCAAATCGGTGCCACTCCCCTTGGAGATCGCAGTTGGGACGTTACGACATAATGATCGCATCGCCTTGGACCGGATAGCCCCCGCTTGCAGAAGTAAAAGTACGTCGAGATGATGGCTGTTGAGGATAGTGTAAGTAGCTCACGAGTGTCTCGTGCTTGTAGTGTACCAGAACCTCCTCCCTAGCTACCGTACCGGTATGTCGTGTCGATGAGGAAGGGGAGACCCAGCAATCGGAGAGCTCTCTGTCTGGTCCCATGTTGATTGTCTTAGTGGAGTAGGGTGCTGTACATCCGGTCTGATGTCCTCTTCTACCGAACGCCAAGTACATCCCGTTGTTTATCTCATCTCAGTCACATCAGTCGCTGCAGGAGAGTGCGTCCGAACGTGGCTGTAGACACAGGATGGATCATCATTGAGCGGGACTGGGTCGTGGCGACTGGCGAGGGGGGGTCTGTCTGTAGGTACCTCTATGTAGTGACCGGTAATTTACAATCTGTTGCATATGCAACTGTGAGCTCTAGCCAAAAAATGAGAAGTTAAGGCTGCTAGCAATTTTCAGACATGACTGACCAAAAGAAGCAATGTGCGACTGTCCCTTGCATTCGGCGGCCTACCATAACTTACCATGGCTTGTATTCGTGAATCTGCAGACATGTGGCGGATTGGATGCTTGCAGGAAAGGAGTTTTAAAGAGAATAAAGCCATGCGGTCTGGAATTAAACAGAATCTGCAATGGTAGTGGGCGGCGACTGCCATAGTAGAGGTGGATAGTGAGATGTGTTGGGAGGGGCACCTGCCGTTGCCGTGATGACATCAGGAAGACAGAACCGCTAGAGGTAGGTAGGTACTCATGAATCCCGGAGTCCCGTCTCGGAATATTACTCACTTCCGGAGAACCATTGGTGGAAAGAAGCCACATGGAAAATTGCAACCGGACAATAACACCCTCACGATCAAAAATCGCACACACTCCATCATCCACCAAAAGCACAATGGAAAGCTCTTTAACGTTTACCAGGGGCATTATGTCCATTTACCAGTTATGTTTCCCAGCTACCAAGCATGCATTCTCCTTCCAAGTCCTTCCAAGTTCTTTCCCATTTATGCTTCGTTTGCCTTCCAGCTAGCAATCCCCTGAAAGCGAGGTAGATGATCCTCCTCTTGCTCTGTTAAAGAACCGCAGTCGCAGCAGCAGCAGCTATACAAACGCGCGCGCGCACAGAACCAACATGATTGAAGAGACTGGAAGAGCAAATATCGATCGATCGGATCGACTAACAACGATCAAGGAAAACTAGCTGAAGTAAAGCCAAACTAAAGACAGGTAAAAAAAAACTGAAAAGAAAAGAAAAAAAAAGAAAAAGAAAAAAAAGAAAAAGAAAAAAAAAGAAAGTAACAAAAAAAGAAAAGAAAAATAAAAGAAAAAATTTGAAAAAAAAAAAAAAAAAAAAAAAAAAGCCGTCGTCGTTTCGTTCGTCTTCGTCTTCTATCGTAAAAAGTCATAGTCATACCTCATGAAGGACGCATGCATGCATGTATGTATGTAAAACGGAAATGCAATAAAGCAAATGATGGACGCTGCTGAAGATGATGGATGATGAACTGAAGATGTCCCCTTCTTATCCCTTTCATTTCCTCGCTATAACCATTTGCGTGCAACCTTCCTGTTCCTTCTTGTCTCCTCCTCCTCCTCCTCCTCCAAAAAGGGTTGTCCACACCCAAGCTGTTAATGGCCCGGAAATGTGGCGTGCTGTTTTTTTGTGATTGTTTTATGTTTTTCCTTTGGTACAAATTTCCTTTGCGATTTCATGTTCTTGCACTCGTTTCCTTCGTGGCCGGTGATGAGTCAAGGTCACCACACACTCACCCTTCATCCTTGCTTCCCTTCATTGTTTTGGAAGCGCATTATGTATAGTATCCTGGCTGATATCCTGGATTCCGGTCCCTTCTCTATCCCTTTCCTGTTCCCTTCCGTTCCGTTCCTTCCGATGATGACCATTGTCACCCCTTTGGTGAAAACTGCCACGAAACTACTGCGTCTCCTTTGAAGACTGTTCTGCTGAACACAACAGAAATCGTTGTGGCAGTTTTCCTGATATTGGTCGTAGCCAGGTAGTGTGAATGCGTTGTAAACCGCTGCAGCAGCATCCGCAAACCATGATTGATGATTGATAAAGAGCAATACAGTGAAGAAAAGAAAATGATAACCAGTGGGAGAGAGCCAACTGGCGTTACTGAAAATGCTTATTATGAAGGACACTCTTGAGTGAGTCCTGAGCCGAGAAACCATGCATGGAGAAAAGAGAAAAAAAAGCAAACGCCTGCTCCCTATGATATTCTCTCTGATATAATCGCTGATGCTAATGCTGATGCTATTGCTGACGCTGCTGCAGTAATGTTGCTGTTGCGGTATTGTTCCAAGACGCGCAGGCCTTAGTAACGGTTGGGATAGCTGCCAGACGAGTAGTCCGGGTATCCAGGTCCTTGCATGGGGTCAGACGAACCACTTGCAGGCTCGTACTTCGGACGAACACTCTCCTGGAAGTTGGTGAGGATAGAGGCCGCATGGGAAGCGGTGATGGGAGGGCCAGCGATGTACTGGTTGTTCGCCTCGGAAAGGGTGCGACGGGACTCGTATGTGGGCTGGGAAGTGCGGTAAGTAGCAATGGTCCCCCTTCTCTGCGAGGCGGGTTGATAGAACGAGTTGTCGTTCTGGAGCATGGGGTTCAAGCTAGATCCGGACGTGGACATGCTGCCGCTGTTGTTGGTCCCCAAGCCGCCTGGGGCGCTGTAGCTCGGGGTGATACCGGCATAGCTCGAGTTCATATAACCGCGGCCGGAACCGATGGGGGCAAGGGTGTTGCCGCTGTAGGCGGCGGATGTATTGTTTTGGAGGCCATTGTTGACCGAGTTAGTGGGCTGGTAGTAACTGGAAGGAGCTTGACGATAGCTAGGATTCCAGTCAGATCTGTTAAGGCTGGGTGAGGAGACATTGGCCTGGCTCTCAGCATACGACCTGTCGTTGTAGTCGTTGTAGCCGTTGCCGTAGGGAGAAGAATAATAGGGGCCCTGGGAGTTATGGGCCGGCCAGTTGGATCTGCTGGGGCTGGGGGAAGGGAGGTTGTTGTGACCTCCGGCATACTGCCTGTTGTCGTAGCCATAGGCAGAATGTTGCTGATGCGAGTAGCGATAGCTCGAGTCGTCCGAGTCAGTGCCCGGGGTGGCCCGCTTGCGGCGCTTCTCAGGGGTATTCATGTTTCCCGAGTTGGCCTTTTTCTTGGTGGCCTTCTCCTTGCGCTCCTTCTCGAGGGATTCATCAGTGCCATCATACTCGGGAAGAATCTCAACGTCGGGGAGGCCATGAGAGGGATGGCCGGCGCTGAGGGCCTCCTCAAGGGGGGCCTTGAAATGCTCATCGATGATGTCGATGATCTGGACCGACGAGTAGACACGATCACAAAGATTAAGCAGGGCAGGCGCGACCCTAGAGGTGGGAAGGAAGTCGACTTCACCGAGATCGTCGTCATATTCGTCGCGCGACCGCTTCTTGTCCCTCTGGAGACGTGCCTTCTCAAGCGCCTTGCTGGCCTCTTCCTGACGCTGCTGCTCGCGCTTACGGGGAACAAGCTTCCATCCGTTCAGAAGTCCTCCCTTCAGGTGCGGGTTCTCCCGATGGCTGATATCGGACCAGATCTGGGCTCGGACGATTGTTCCGATGATAAGATTGCACTGATCAAGGGAGTACTCGGCCAAGTTGCGGTAGCGAGCGCGCTGGTAATGCTTGCGGCACAAGTTGCACCAAACACGATCAGGCATTTGTCTTGTTGCCTTCTTGTTGCGCCCGAAAAACTGAGATACGGCCTTGCGGGGAGGCGCGTTGGTGTTGCACTTGTCTGTGTGGTAGCAACGAGTGCCGCCACGGCGAAGGTCGGCCTCTAGAGCGAGACGATCCGTCCGATCTTCTTCAGTTCGAGGATCCAGGTACCTGGGGGCTCTGTTCACCCAATCAAGATCCAAATCCTGCCCATCTTCCTCGGCGCTGGCATTGTCGGCCACAGGCGAAGATGGGTCAACGTTAGGCGTGTTGCTGATTGAGTTCTCCATGCGACGGTTTTGTCGCATGCTGCGAGTTTGAGGGGGGGTGGGCAATTGCTGAGACCAGGTCGAACCCTCCTGGGGTGACTGGGGCTTGACGTGAGGGGGCGCCATGCTGAGAGAGCTTAGGTCAAGGTGAAGCGAGTATCTGGAAGGATGACTACATAAGGTGCGCAAGACGGTTAGCAACTATCCTGAGTAAGCTATAATCAAGATGGGTGGTGAGGATGGGATGTACCCGAACGCCTGTCTCGACTAGACCAAGATCAGAAAAGACGAAGCGCGCAGATGCTGATCTGCAAGCAGGAAGCCAATGTGCAAGCTGTGGTACTTGGTGTAGAAGCGGCGAGTCTGGTCTCGAGATTTGGAAGAAGAGCCTCGAATTTGCGCCGATGTTGTTGAGATCGGCAAAATAATTCGAGTCGAGTTGGGTTGAACGAGGAGGGATGAGGAAAACTCGACCGGGGGAAAAGGCAAATTTATGGGGAAGAGTGTGCACTCGCACCGTTGTTTTTGGCAGCTTCACAGTTGTGCGCTCGAGGTCAGAGGGGTCACAGTTTTGCTATTGTGAGGGTCAGGTCGGGATGGAAGTGAATGATCTCAATAGGTGACCCTTATTGAGCAAACGAACGAGGTGGGACCTGACCAGTTGCGCCGGCCTAGATTCCCACCCTGGGCAATTCACGTCCCAACTGCCACGTTACCTGGCCGACTGACAATAGCATGCCCGGGCCGACAATGATGGATTATTGCCGGTCGGCTTGTCCAAGGACCCTGAACAGCGTATTTCAACCGTATCATGGTAATCACCATCAACCGGTGAAGGGGAAACGGGCCCGAGTGTCGCTTGCAAAAACCACCGTCAAGCCAAGGAAGCCATCGTTTGCCAGTCACTCGCTCGAGGATCTGGCATTGGGTGGCTCGAACCATCTGGACTTCCATCCCATATCGTCTTTCCGCCCACGTCGACAGCGGCATGCAAGCAAAGTTGTCGCATCATGCTGCAGATAAGGGCCCGCGGTCACAGACGGGGGAGAAGCCAACACGTGTCGAGACGCAAACAGGAGCTAAAGCAACAGAAAGCATCGCAATGGGCAACATGAGATGAACCTTCACCACTTACATTTGATTGTTGACCCCGAAGGTTTGAGGGGCCATGGTGTAATTTGTGCCCTCGTACGTCATAGCGGCTTGGTCACCATGCCCGCCGGTAGCGTAGTTTGCGCTCTCGAATTGGCGCGGCACATTGAATCCAACGGGATGCCGAAAAGTGAACTCTGAAGTTGGAGGGCTGGTGTAGGGTCAGCAGGTGATTGATGACTACCAAAGTCAGGACGAGAAGCTACTTACCGATAAGAGTGTTGGGTGCCCGAGGTGCCCGAGGTGCCTGATGGACGAATTTCAGGGTTGCCGCGGTAGTCGGATGGTCGTGATTGGGGCGTGGTGTTGACGACGTTGCGAATACTCATGTTGAAGTTTTGCCGGTTATCCATTTTGTATCTCTCCGATACTGGATCCATTTGTATGGTAGATGTCAAAGCACACCGTCGACGCCGGCGTTATGGGTTGTTATTGGAATGAATAGTTGACTGAGGAAGATGCAACAGAGTTTTTGCATTTGCGTGTGTCCGCGACGACGACGACGACAACGATGCCAGTAGTGTCTATGACTCCTGGCTAGCGATACCTGGTTATGATATTGATGTCTGTATCGGCAAGCTTGTCAAGCAAAAGATCTGGTTCTGTTGCCAACGAGAAATGGTCTGTTTCGGGAGATGGTCCGAGTTTGTCTTGGGGGCAGGACGAAGAAGGTTGGGACGGAGGAAGAAAAGATGAAATGAGAATGGATGAAATATGAGACGGAGATCTCGTCCAACAAAGCAAATTGAGATGATGTGTCAGCAAGTATTCAAATGGGCATGTCCCATTCCATTAGTTGAATACTGAGGAAACACGAGAGACGCGATTTTAAAGAGAGAGGCGTTGAGAGAAGGGGGAAAATGCAATGGCGGCTTCATCAGGAAGGCAACTCTCAATCACCCTCAGTACCTACTCAATGCACCCAAAGTGTACCTATGTATACATCGTATTTACGGCGGGCACATTGTGTATGCGTGACAATGCAACTGTAAGGAGATGAAATCACGCAGGACTTGATGCGGACAAAGCGATATCAATGCAGGTACTGTGTGTAAAATACGCTCGGCTCCATGCAAGACCCGGGGGTGCAAACACATACATCATGATGCTTGCATGAACACCATACCCGCACCCCACTCCACACATGACGCAAGACCAAAGGAAGTTACGATAACTCTGTCGAAAGTGAAGATGCCCTTATGAAAGATGCCGGTCTTCTTATGGTTCATATGCTCTTTTGATAAATGATGGTGCTCAGTCCTTGCTGTCCATACGAGGAAACGAGAGCTTTCAGGCTGTGAGGACATCCAATGCAGGCACCTACAGTCCAGGGGCTTCATCCCGTCTACCTACTGAAGCATAAATATCACAGGCAGATTTGGCATGTCTGCACGAGGAGATTGGAATCTGCGTGGTTGGTGTCTGCCGGGCCGTTGTCTGATGGAAACTGGCCCTGGCTTAACTGGGTAGGGGACCTCGGGGCCGCAGCTCAGTCGGGGTACATCGAACTGCGTTAAATCACCTCAACGCCAAACAGCACTTTGTGGTGATGGTACTCAAAGGCCTTCCGTTGCTGATAATCAACCTTTGAAGCTGGGTCTGGATACTCCGGCCGGAAACACAGTCAGTCTATACCGGCAAACTTGGGGGATCAAACTTGTCGTTTCTGGAGAGGGCTATGGCATTTCCCAGTAAAAGAACATTTGCAGGAATGTAACATTTCGTCACCAAATCATTCTGTCAGTCCATAACCATACCTTTGGAAGGAAAGTTGCCCGGCTCAAGATCGAGTGTCCCTCGCCGAGTCGAGTCGACATCGATGTCCGAAACGGGCTGGGCAGACTTATACCAGAGAAGCAGACCAATAAGAGCTCGAGTAGAGAGGTAAATAAGTGGGTCTGAGGCTCACGGTCCAAAACGTCCCGTCGGTTCTGCACGGTATGGTAACAGACATGCGCCTGATTTCCGATGCAGATCTGTTAGTACCTAGAGACTTGTTGACTTGTATAGCATGTGACATTGCTGAACACCATCAGAAGATGTGTGTTGGGAGGGTTTGAAGCATACTGTGGGCTTTTGAGAGACTGTTCCTGTGACTGGACAGGTACAGGTACTTCTTTTCCCTGGGTGGTGGTGCTTTGGGAAGCCTGCCGTAGAAACTCGCGAAACTTCGGGGAAAAGGCCTTCCTCCCGTCCCTCTTTGAGCGCCGGCATATGTAGAGGTACCTACAGGAAGCTGACAGGACGGAATTAGGCGGGCCACTGTGCCTTCAAATCAGTGTGCACGTTAGAATGGATGGTAATGCCATTCAGTTTTTGGTGATTAGACAGATACATTTACTTGTGGTGTGTGCGTGCGTACGGGGCGGCTTTCTGACAGATACATGGCAGATACATGGTAGAATTCTGGCAGATACATGACAGATTTCTGGCAGATACATGACAGATTTCTGGCAGATACATGACAAATTTCTGCTATATGCCGGCGCTCATAGAGGGAAGGCCTTTCTCCAGTTTTGCGAGTTTAGCGGTAGCTACCTAGCTTGTGCCCGATATCGCTGAACAGGAACACCAAAAAGCGTGTATGGCGAGGTTTGAACAATTTTGCGGGCGGGTTTGATAAACGATCATGGTTAGGTATACGAGTACTTCTCTTTGAGTAATGCTTGAGAGCCTCATTTATCCTTTTTCGTTAACTTCGTCGTCTTGTTGATTGGTACAGACAGGTCACCCCGATGTGGACACCGGAAGAGTTCAGTCCTGACGTACGCTTCCACAGTGTGTGTAACGGGAAACGCTCCCGTCGTCTTCCCTTCAAGACCCCACAGCACCAGAAGAAGCCTGACAGTGTAAGAACCCGCAGGAACTGTTTTCGAATTCCAAATTCTAGATGTGCACTGTCCGGAAGCGAGGATGCTACCACTGGATTAGCCAGAGCACGCATAGATCCCATGGGGGAGTATGGACTTATCGGAGCATGTCTTCCGTGTCGACATGACATGTCGGAAGCTCGGCCATCGTCGGCAAGGCAGGCAACGGGCAACGAGACTGGAGGAAGCCAACAACGTCGGGGCCGCATGATCTGTCAGTTGCACGCAGTGAGAGGGCAAAGCTCCATGCCATAGTTCCAGTTTCGAAACATCGAGCGGACATCACCCAACTGCTGCGGCGGTTGCGCGATGATCACTGTTGCTGGACGAGGAATCGGAAATAAGATATAATATGATTATCTGCTCCCTCAAGGAACCAATGACAAGAAGAAGAAAACCAGAACATTACAAGCCCAATCCAGACTGAACTCCTGCACGAAAACCCCACTTGCCCAATTTTCCCCAAAAGACCATCACAGATCCGTGACCAATAGAACTGACTGACACCTGTAAAACCCTGTCAACTCACACACATCCACTCACTCCTCCTTCACCTTCTTGGCCTCAGGAGCACCCTCCTCGGCCGGCGCAGCAGACTCACTGCTCTCAGCCTTCCTCTTCCTCTTCACTAACCCCGTCAAATCATTCGCCTTCTCCTTGACCTCCTCAGCCACCTTTAGGCTTTCTCCATCCTTGGAAGCACTTCCTGACACCGGCGCCGCGATGCCAAGCGCCTCATTGATATCAATAGGCGGCTTTCCGAGGTCAATCAGTCTCTGCTCCATATCCGCAATCACCTCCTTCACGTCCGCAATCTGCCTCTTTGTGACGTCGTTGTCCTCGACGTTGTGCGTGCTAGCCAGCTCGACTTCCTTGTTTTGCAGCTTGAGCTTGGTGGAGGCGATGGCGGCTTCGAGCTCCGTAGCGGCCTCGTCACGGAGAGCTTGGTCTACTACGCCAGCTCCGGCTTTATCTGAGGGGCCGGTCGAGTCGTCGTCGGAAGACTTGGTCACCGAGGCGAATTCGAGAGCGAGGGAGAGCTTGAAGTGCGCTTCGGCGATGATTTCGGAGTCTTGGGTGTAGAGCTGTTGCTTGTATTTGAGGGACGCGCGGGAGTCGGTGATGGCTGCTGGGTATCTGTGAGGGTTGTTGTTAGTGGTGGTTGAGGTAGGAAGCGGAGAAAAACAAGTGCTTACCTCTCGTTCTCGAGGGAGATCTCGGCAAGAAGATCGTGGAGATCGCCCAAGCGCTCCTTGATGTGCTTGATCAGAGGCGATGGCTCAGTAGTAGTGGCAGCCTCCTCCCCTTCCTTCTCCTTGCCCTTTCCTTCTTCTACTTGGGGCTTCTCTTCAGCTTCTAATGTTGCGAGCTTCTTCTCAAAGAGAACACGCGAAAGGTCAAGGACCTGAAAGGCCACAGCGAGATCGTCGTCGTCTTCGTCTTCTTCCTCTTCCGCCTCGGCGTCATCACCTTCCTCCTCCTCCTCATCCGAGTCGTCAAAGTTCTCATCACCCTCAAAGTGGAAGAGAGGCTTCTTCTCCGGATTAGGCTCATCCTTGTGGGCAATCTCCTTGGCCGCCTCGACGATGGAAGCTTGCGCGCCCTTAGTCGCCTGCTCTACCGCATCCTTGATCAAGGATGATGAACCCTCGCCGTTCTCTTCTGTGGCAGCCTTCTTCTGCTTCTTGGCCTTGGCGGCCTTCTTCTCGGTTTTAGGCTCGGGCGCGCGACCACCGAGGACGTCGCTCTTGCTCTGGCCGATCTTGAAGAGGGCGCGGCCGTAGAGGAAGAGGATCTCGGCGTTGTCAGGGTTCATCTCGCCGTCCATCTCGGCCTGCATCTCAGCGGCTTGGGCGTACAGCTCGGCGGCCTCATTGTAGTTCTTTTGCGCGTACTGGGCGGCGGCCTGGGCGGACAGGTCGGCGAGGGAGACCTTGAGGGATTGCGCAACTTGCTCGGCATTGAGCTCGACGGCCGGGGTCGCGGTGCCGCTTGCGGCGGGAGTGGGTGTTGACATTGCGATATGTGGTTTGTGGTTGGCGGAATGGATGTTTGATTTGCAAAAATATCTCGATTCTGCGATTGAATTTCTTATTTGGTGAAAAGGTGACAGGAAAAACTTCAATGGACAGAGGAAGAAGCTTCCTTTTGGGACGACGGGGAGAGTTACAGAGAGCTTCACAGAAGTTCAGAAAGCTGTGACGCGATGGAGATCAGTCCACCCCAGAAACGCATCTGATTGGATAATGGCTTGTAAGGTGAATGACTGTTGATGTTCATTGGCTATTTTCAGCCCTTTGCAACCATTGACTTAATGGAAATGTGGGGCTGAAGAGCAAACAGCAGACCAACAGCAGACAAGAACCCCGATCAAATGGCGAGAGCTTTTGCTCCCTGGTGCTGTTAGTGAAATCTCGAACTCTATATTAGAATTATAGAATTAATCGATCAGTTGACTCCATCATCTCATTCCATTGCCAAAACTGATGTTGGATTTGGACACATCCGGTGCTCCAATGATCAGTCTAACCTGTAGCCGGAAGCTGCAAGTTGAAAAGCCAGGGTTAGGGCCATGACGTAGCTCCTTTTTGGTAGGCACTCTTTATCCTCCCGCCCCTGCTTCTGTCCATCAAACTTTCCGATCTGACCCCGCGAACCCCTCAACCCATTTCTTCTCTTCTCCGACCTCGTTCAGCCTGGTTACCCCAGTCTTTCTCCAAATCGCGAAGAGCGTCTCTCAATTGCAAGCCGGTGAGCGAATTTGATCAGGACTTTGGCCAGTGCGTTCCAGCTTGTTTCCACCACCATCATCAGTCATCATTCATCAACCTTGAAGTTGGTCTAACTAAATAACTTGATCTCGATATACCATCTGACCCTGGTAAGTGTCGTAATGTCCTACTGCGTTGCTGGATATATGTGCTTGGCTTTGTCCTTCAGAAAGTCAACCGAGATTTTGGGACTTATAAATCGGTTTCAAGCCTTTCACCTTGCGGCTTATCGGTGGTTATAGGTCACCGTGTTCTAATATGTGAAATGGATAGAATATTCCAGCTTGGACAACCCCCGATAAACACTACACTCCTACTACATCAACCAACCAAAAGTCTGACGGATTATCAACATGCTTCAAGCAATTGAAAACGTCCATGACCGGCAGTTCCTAGCCTCGGAGCTCGCCTCCCCAGCCACCCTCGTCGCTGAACTTGCCCAAGCAGAGGTTAAGAACATTCTCCTGGCGTATGTCTCACTTCAGCCTCTAAATCCCTTCCTTGCCAGTTCGATCTAGGTGCTAACCGCAAACTATTCAGTGCCTCCGGCTCAGTAGCCACCATCAAGAGCAAGCCCTTTCTTCCTCACCCTCACGCAACAGAAACTCCAAATACCTAAAGAGCTAACCATATCCCTCCTTCTCGTCTCACAGTCCCCGAGATCGTCAAAGCCTTGGCTCCCCAGGGCGACAAAATCCGCGTCCGCATCATCCTCACCCAATCCGCCAAACACTTTCTCGGCGGCCAAAGCAAAGAACAGCCCGTGTACTCTTCCTTACTGGACTACCCGCACGTGGAAGCCATCTACGACGACGCCGATGAGTGGGGTCCCGAGCCATGGCGCCGCGGAGCAAGCATTCTGCATATCGAGTTGAGGAGATGGGCGGATATCTTGGTTGTTGCGCGTAGGTCTCTTTTTTTCGTTTTAGGTTGCTGAGGGCTTGAGGAAATGATTTACTGTCCTATTTGAAACAGCTCTCAGCGCCAACACCCTCGCCAAAATCGTCAACGGCATGAGCGATAATCTCCTGACGTCCGTGATAAGAGCATGGGACACGGATTCGAGTATCGACAATAAGAAGAAGGTTATCGTGGTTGCGCCGGCTATGAACTCTGTGCGTATCTCACTCATACTTCCCCTTAAATACGTGAAGCATCATCATCATCATGGTAACTAACACTCTTCAATAACCAGGCAATGTGGAGACACCCCATCACCGCGAAGCAAATCCGCGTATTGCAAGAAGAATGGGGAGTCAGGGATCCTGAGCCAAGTGAGGGCGACACGGCGGGTGTCGCGGTGGCTAATGGCTGGTTTCAGGTTATCATGGTATGTTTGGTTGAGCTCATCCTGTTCTTGCTTGTGATGGTATGCGTGAATTTGAGACTGACGATATGGGAATGAATGATTATAGCCGATTGCAAAGACACTTGCGTGTGGTGATACAGGAGGTAAGCAAATTTTATTTTTCCTCTTCTCCCCCTTCTCCACCAAAGTCCCCAGTAACTCTTTTCTACCAAAGGTAACATCCGTGTTGCTAACTTGTCAACTGTCTAGATGGTACGTACATATACATGCATTGATCCAGAAGGCCTGAAAAGAAGTGGCTACTACTCTACGGGGTGTCAGCGAAAGAAAAACAGGTATCATATCATGTGTGGAAGTAGCTAACATTCTGTGACCAGGAGCCATGGCATCCGTCGACACCATCCGAGAAGCCATCGAAAGCAGGCTTGGTCTTGAGTAGTGTAGGTAAGGGATCAGTGATGATCCTAGCTAGGGTATTCGATGAAGTGTCGCTGTCGTCACTCGTCCGATACGTTTATCAGAGTGGCTGGGTGGGCTGGGCTGGATTAGAGATTGTGAAAAAGCGAGCTTTAGGTACCTTAGCTATTCTTTTATGCGAAGCAACAACAGGCCGATAGCAATAATCGCAACAGACGAAGTACGGTACTTCAAGGGAAAACGGGGTAATCTAGCGGAAGAGAGGTTGTTGGACAATTCAATGGAACGGAGGAGGGGAAGGCGATACCTACCTTAGCTTTCTAGGGGACAAACAGATACTCGGGCTGTTATTGTGAAGCAAGAAGCAAGAAGGAAGCATGGACTACCGCGAAACATTCAAGTTCAATGGACAATGGAACAGACAGAGAGATCATGTGGCAGGAAAGGCAGGAAAGAGTGCACTCGGATAATGTCAGTGCCCGGAACAGCAGTTATCGAGAGAGAGTTGTCAAGTACAAAGCAGCAGCAAAGTTCATATTTGTACAATTGTAAAATTCATAAAAGGCCTAGACTAACTTTACCGTCAAAGAAAAACCAAAACCACATGATGATTGATGAAGAGCTATTTGACTTGACTTGACTTTATGATACGGAGCGAGCAAGAAAACAACAAGAAAAGCAGTGATCGATTTGATTAACCCCAACGCCATTTCAGTCCTTCAGCCACTATCCCTCTCCCTTCGCCCTTCGCTCATCGTCCATTCTTTCCTCCCTGCCAGCCAGATCCACCGCGCAATTTTCTCCCTGCTGTTTCTCCTCACAGAAAATGAATATAGCCCGACGACCATGCTCGGTATTTTGGTGTTGTTGTGTGCTGGGTGTTGGGTGTTGTTCAGTGCCGGGGGTTGGGTTGTTCTTCAGTGGCTGCTAGGGTTGTCGTTGTCTTTTAATCTTTTGCACTATGCTGATGACTTGGGGGTGGTTTCTCAGACACAACAAGTGAAACCTCCTCCTCTTCCTTTCACCATTCGCTTGTTCCCGATGCTTCTGCAGGGACTTCCCGATCGATGATTCCCCTTCTGCCACCGCGGTATTTTGTGCCAGGCTTGCCGGGCTCCTTTGGGCCTGTGGGCACGTTCGGAGGGGGAGCTCTGGCGGGATCGAGAATGTACTAACCCCTGGCGTAAGGATGGAAGCCCCTGTTTCCACCCCGTCCGCCACCGCGATAGTTGGCACCAGGCTTGCCAGCGTTCTTTGGGCCCGTGGGAGCATTCGGGGGAGGCGCGCTGGCCGGATCGACCGGTCCGCCGGGGGAGTGCGAGCCCTGATGGCCGCCCTGCTGATGACCACCGCCGCCACCACCGTGATGACCGCGATTCTTATGGAAGCCACCGCGTCCTCCGCCGCCTCCGCCGCCACCGCCCATGCCGCCACCCATACCCATACCCATACCGCCCATGCCAGGACCGAAACCGGGACCGCCGCCCATCATCGGCTGCGGAACGTCGTCATACATGCCCTCCCAGCTTGTAGCGCCCATGTTGTAGCCAGCTCCAGCACCGGGCATGCCGCCGCCATAACCGTTAGCGGCGGGATCATTGCGAGGACCGCGCTGCTGGCCATCGAAGCCCTGCTGACCGTCAAAGCCGTTGAATCCCCCCTTAGGACCAGCAGCACCGCCGGCACCACCGTCAGCTCCAGGACCGCCAGCGCCGCCCATCATCTGCTGCATCATCGCCGGGTTCATGCCCATGGCCGCGGCCATCGCCTGGGGGTTCTGCGCGTTAGGCCCTTGACCCGCGCCGACACTACCAGCGCGGCCACCGTTGCCTTGCTGTCCTCCAGCACCAGCCTGAGCCGCGGCGTGAGCCTGCTGAGCGGCCATCATCTGCTGTTGCATTTGTTGCATCTGCTGCATCTGTATCATTTGCATCATGGGGGTCTGAATGCCCCTATTCATGGCCATTTGCTGCTGCATCATCTGGAAGGCCTGCTGCATCCGCTGGAGATACTGGGCCATGAGCTGGGGTGTCATGCCGGCGGTGCCAGCGCCGCCCATGCCGCCCATGCCGTTCATGCCACCTTGGCCGGAGCCGTCGTCCATGCCACCGCCCTGTTGACCGTTGCGGCGCTGACCAAACTTGCCACCACCGCGACGAGCAGCTTCCTCGGCTTCCTCGCGCAAATTGCCGCGCGGTTGGGCTTTCTTGACCTCGATGGGCTTGCCATGGATCTCAAGATTAGCAGAGAGGCAGGCATCAACCCCGGCTTCAGACTCGAAGGTAACGAAGCCAAAACCACGGGGACGGCCGGTGTCCTTGTCCATCATGAGGGTGGCGTCGACGACACGGCCGAACTGGGCGAAATATTCGCGGAACTCGTGGTCGGTGGTCTCCTGGGACACGCCACCGACGAAGATTTTTGAAGTCTTCTCTTGCTCATCGCGGGGAATGGCGCGCTTTGGGTCGATCTGGCAGAAGAAGGTTAGATGTCATACATGTAATGAGTTTGATGAGATATGGTGGAACAACTCACAATCTTGCCGTCAAGGTAGTGTTCCTTGACCATCACAACGTTGACAGTCTTGGGATCCTTGAAGGTAAGGAATCCGAAGCCACGCGAGCGACCGGTGGCGCCATCTCTCATAACGGTGCATTCTACAACCTCGCCGTATTGCGAGAAGTAATCTCTGAGTGATTCTAGAAGTCACGAGACCGCGATTAGCAAAACTGTATCGGAAGTCATATGGTACATATAGTGCCCTTAGAAGAACCACGATAACCATGAAGGAATGAGGAGGAAATATGGCAATGCTTACGGTCGGTAGTTTCCCAATTCAAGCCACCAATGAACATTTTCCTATATGACACAAGCGCACGCGCAGCATGTTAGTTAACTTCATCTTTTGAGAAATCTATGGTGCCTGGATACGAGTAAGCGGAACATGAGGGCTGTGAGGAATGCGGTGGGTTTGAGTGGATAAAATGCGGGTGTAAGAAAGACATTGTGCGCGAGTTGGTTGTGCAGTGACCAAGCAAACAACCCCAACCCAATCCCCTTGGCCATCTAGAGCTTGAGCGAATTCGGAAATGGCTACAAGCGAAACCAAATGCTATGAGCTAGCTATGCGGGAAGCATGTTTGTAGCCGTTGTTTGGAGCAGTGTGAGCAGTGTGTGCATGTAGCGTGAGCCGGGCAAGCAAGCCTATTTGTCCAGTCTGTTGTGCCAGGACTCGAGCAGGCTCAGCTGTATGTGTACCCCAGACTTCTAACATGACCACATTGACCGTCTACCGTCGTCATCCTTGATATAGCATGAGCTCCACCATCACTGTCTTAAGACCTATCCTTCATCTTGTTCATACTGGGTCTGGTGTTTGACTCTGGCGTGCGGCAATGGTCGTGATTCTCCCGTAGGCTCCGCAAGTTGACGAAACTGATCGACCCAAGACGATAGGGTGGTTGGCATTTGGCGATTGAAAGGTATGAAGCCGTCTCCGCGATGTTCTCAAGGGTGGAGAGATGACTGCTGTCCGATATGGCCGAATGCTGAGTTGACTTGACGGAGGGGCCAGGGTGAGGGTATGCTACGGCAGTTCCCAGAGTGAACAGAAGGTGCAGCAGCGCAGCAATGTTCCACTTCCAAGTGGTCTCTGGGTGTGCCGGAATCTTTCTTCGATTTTTGCTGTCTCGAGCTTTTTTGCTACCGTCAAGCTAGGTACTGTCTGTATCTGTTCAGGGTGCTGCCCTTCTCGCTGCTAATCTTGCTCTGGCTGCAGGTTCATCGACCCTCCTGGCAGAAGGAAGCCGGTTCCCTCACGCCCTATTAAGATTACCTCCGCAAGGCCATCCGCCATTCTTGTAGTACAGACAGGAGCGTACTCCGGGACCCTTTGACGTCGAAGCTTGATCCTTGGCGTGACCCTGGACAAGTCCACAACTTCCAGCCTCTTCTCTCCCGATCCATGTCCGCATCCATAACGGATTGCGACCCTTTCCTGCTCTTGATCACTTGGAAGTCTTGCGATTCCTGAAGCATCCATACGGTATGGCTCACCCATAATCGCCCAGAGTGACTCAGAGTGTCTGTTGCCAAGACTCTACTCGGCTCACCCAAGTCCTTTGCCGCCCAAAACCCTCCCTTCCCAGCCAGACCAACAGAACGGTTTTAGGACGCCACGTCCTGAGCGGTTTTCATGTAGAGGATCGTTTCAAGATTTGGGAGAGCTTGGTTGAGGCTGCAGCTGCGTTGGGCGAAACCCGAGAATATAGGGAGGGGGTGAAGGGGGTGGGCGGGGTGTTACGAACATGTACATGTGTCACGAATAGCATCAAAGGGGAGGTCACTTACCCATCTTCCTTGGCATTAGGGCCCTTGTGTTGGGCCTGGGACTGTTGGGAAGCATGATATTGCGACTGAGGCTGGCTGTTGTTGTTGTTGTTGTTGTTCTGGTTGTTCATGTTGTTGTCGTCGTCGTGGCGAGCGACAGTGGTTGAAGGGCCGTTTCCAAGGTTGAAATCGATGTCATCATCGTCTTCCTCTTCCTCCTCATCGTTACCGTATTGTCCGTCGCCGCCATTGTAGTAATTTTGCTGGTTGTAATCGTTGGAATTGCCGTAGTTGTCAGCTGCCGACTGCTGGGCGGCGGCAGCTTGTTGCTGCAGTTCTTGTTGTTGCTGCAGTTGCTGTTGTTGTTGCGAAGACTGCTCAGTAGCCGAAGCTTGGGCTGGAGCAGGGGCAGCTGCTGGTGCAGCGGCTGGCTTGGTGGCAGCCGGGGCGTCGTCGTCATTGTAGCTAGTTCACACCGATGTCAGATCACTTTCAGATTTGACGTCACCAAGCAGGTGGAGATAACTTACAGGTCGTCGAAGAGGTCGTCCTCGTAATTCTCTGCTTCGGCCATTTTGGCGGTTGGTGGGTGTCTGAGGACTCCGGGTATCGAAAGATGGAAAAGTGATAACGAGGTGAAGTCGATCTAGGATTTACGTCGGACGCTGAGATGGCGTACAACGAATATTTGCTGGAAGATCAAGTCGAAAAATTCTAAAAGGGAAAGGATACACAAGATGATCTGGCTGCCGAGAAGCAGCGAGACGCGAATGGATCGTAGTGATCGAGTTGTCGCACTGGAAGAGATGCGGACGGATGGACCTCGGAGCAGCTCAACCTAGTAGAGCGCGAGGTGGGTGGGAGTCGAGTGCTTGTCGTTTCCTCTCTCAGATCAGCTGACCCGGATTGGAAAGGGGATTGAGTGTACAAGTCCCAAGGTGCCCGAGTCGATTGTGGTTGTTGTTGTTGTCGAGGATGACTTGGGTGGAAAGTGTGAAAATGGAAAGTGGGAAGAGTGGACGTCGTTTGCTTTTGAAGGGGAAGGACGGGAACTCGAACTCCATCTGCCTGCCTCAGTCCCAAGGCGGAGTGCAACAAGTGAATCCAGGGCCTCGCCGCTCCTGCCCTGCAGTCCCATCCAGTTTGGCGCCGAGTGTTAAGGTTCGGCCGGGTGGACCCCGATTCAAGCCCAGGAGTGCCAGGCACCGGCACCGCGAATGGGCCCTTCCGTCAACGATGACTGCAGTGCACTAACAAATAGACGTTACGGCACTTGGACCTGGTGCCATTCGCGTGCTGCTGCAAGGGCCAATTAGGTGCGTAGGCGGTGAGAAACAGCCTGTACAACGAGGCCGTACCTGCGGGCAAGGAACGGTCCAGCGCACCTTATCGCACCCTCTGGGGCATCCTTGCCCAGTGAGCCCCCGCCCGTAACCTCAACGTCCAAGAACCCAGGCATGGACGACATCGGCTGTCTGAGAGCCGGCGAACAGCTGGCGAGCTGTGACAGGCGGACGGCGTCCAAGTCAATCACTTGCTGGAAGAAGGCAAAGACACCGAGATGGCAAGACGTGGTGCCAAGAGCCAAGCCGCCGAATGTGTTAGTGGCCTCATGCCTGGCAACCGCTGTGTAGCGAGGTAACAAGCCGATCGGCTTAACCCCAGCACGGCATCAAGCAATCACCTGAAGGGGAACGGCCATTGTCTGTCTAGCTCCATGGAGATTCCCTCCCTTTCATCGACAATGGTGATGCGATTGCGCTTGTAGACCAAGGCGAAACCACCTGTCCTGTTTACTTATATACCCACTCACACAATGTTTTCGTCTTCGAGCTCGAGCAAGAAAGCATCTCCCCAGGTATGTCACTTAGACAAGTGTTTGGTTCCCGTCCATTGCTAACAGGTCATGATGTCGCTACAGCCGCAGGAGATGGTCCAAGTTGGTATGTCCTGCTGATGACTACAAACCTCGCTTGCTTGTTGTTTGTATAACCAGTTGCTGATCCCATGTCCGTCATGGCTTCAGACAGGTCCGAGTATGTCTCTCAATCCAACAATTCCCAGATTCAAGACCTGAACGCTGACATGACAATGCGACAACAGCTCTGGCTCCCCTTTTTGGAGGGCGCCCCAGAAGGATGCCCCGCTAAAGAAGACGACCACTCGCGACTCGGGCAAGGTAGTTGGCGCTGCCTACTCCCATGCCGACATGCTCAAGTTCGATTCATTGTGCGTTGGCTGTCTCGTTGCTGTTTGGGATCTATCTTGGGAATGACGCATTTGCTGACTTTCGATCTCTCGAACCAGAAATCTGTCTAGCTCCGGATCGCGACCACGAACCCCTCCTCCCTCGTCCTCTGCCCTCGGCCGAACTACCTCCAACAGTACAGCCTCGCCCCATATGAAAGGGGTAACATCACCCCCGTTTAAGAACTACATGAACTTCATAACGAGCACCAACGAAGACTGGGCAGCAGATGACGCAGACGACGTATACGCCTACGAAGACGATGGCGACGATGACTTTGGGCTTCCTAGTCTGTCCAGCATGAAGAGGAAATCGCGCCGGGCAGCAGCGCAAACGGAACAAGGGACCAGCAGAGGAAAGACAACAGACTCGTTTACGGATTCCACGGGACGCCGATATTCAGACAGCGCCGACATTGCCATCGAGCGGCCAGCTTCTACCTACCCCATGCCCAAGAAGACCGAAGGCAAGATCCTCCGACCACAATACAGAGACATACTCCGCGATCCCGCAAACGCCCTACACCTAATCAACCACCCCTCAGTACCACCTAATGCTTCCCAAAAGGAAATTGACGCCGTCAACTCGAGGATAACCAGGATAAACAAGTTCAAGAAGATTCTCCAAGCGTCAACAATTCCTCTAAACGACCTCCGAGCCCTAGCATGGTCCGGCGTACCAGAAGAAGTCCGGGCCATGACCTGGCAGCTCCTGCTGAGCTACCTCCCCACTAGCAGTGAAAGGAGGGTAGCCACGCTCGAGCGCAAACGAAAAGAATACCTGGACGGTGTACGACAAGCATTTGAACGAGCGGGTGGCGCTCCACCACCGTCCACCGGAAAGGGAGGCGGAGGCAACCGCGGCCTAGACGAAGCCATCTGGCATCAGATCAGCATCGACGTACCCCGAACGAACCCACACATCGAGCTTTACGGCTACGAAGCAACACAACGCTCGCTGGAGCGCATTCTCTACGTATGGGCGGTCCGACACCCAGCAAGCGGCTACGTACAGGGCATCAACGATCTGGTGACACCGTTCTGGCAGGTGTTCCTTGGCACATATATCACAGACCCAGATATAGAGAGCGGCATGGACCCGGGCCAGCTTCCTAGGGTGGTGTTGGACGCCGTCGAGGCCGACACGTTCTGGTGCCTGACTAAGCTGCTGGACGGCATACAGGACCATTACATTGTTGCGCAACCGGGCATTCAGAGGCAGGTGGCGGCGCTGAGGGACTTGACACAGAGAATCGACGCTGGGTTGGCGAAGCACTTGGAGGAGGAAAACGTCGAGTTCATCCAGTTCAGCTTCAGGTGGATGAACTGTCTGTTGATGAGGGAGATTAGTGTCAAAAACACGATTAGGATGTGGGATACGTACATGGTTAGTTCTTGTCCCCATCCCCATTTCCCCTGTGCAAATTACTAACACCGAAACCCAACACAGGCCGAAGAACAAGGCTTCTCAGAATTCCACCTCTACGTCTGCGCCGCCTTTCTCGTCAAATGGTCCGACAAGCTCGTCAAGATGGACTTCCAAGAGATCATGATGTTTCTCCAGTCCTTGCCGACGCGCGAGTGGACCGAGAAGGACATTGAGCTCTTGCTCAGCGAGGCCTACATCTGGCAGAGCTTGTTCAAGGGGTCTTCGGCGCATCTGAAAGGACAGCCGAGTAGTAGGACGAATTCGTTGAACTTTCAGCTTTGAGTCGAACCCCTGAGTAGGAAATATCAGCGATCAAATGGGATGGAAAGGAGGAGGAGAAGGGGTTCGACTCAAATTGGACGGAGAGGCGCGAAGCAAACACGACGCTGTCCTGGGGACCGTTTGATGTCATCGCGACGCCCCTACATATGTAGCCACAAACAACAACACCGTTGGCGGAAAAATATATAATACCGAAGAGATGTCTGAAAGGAATGGACGGATCAAAGTTCGAAGAAGCAGCAAAACAAACAGAGATACCATTTGGATGCATGATGGGGGAGGGGGAGAGAGACCTAAGCAGGTACCACAACCGAGTACAGAGTACATACATAGCTAAGCTATCACAAAGATTACTTATTGTAATAATACCACGCACGATTGGAAACCTATAAATTTCGCTTTAAACGCGTAGATAGCGTCTTGACCCATGTTCCATCTCGACTTCTATCTCGACTTCCAGTCATCCATCCAGTATTTTCATATTAGGATCATATTGGAGATCGAAACTTGTTATCTACTATCTGGCAAGCATATCCGTCCGACATTGTCAACCTTGTGAGGCCTTGTAGTCTAATGCCCAATCGTTTAATTCGATCCTATTTGCGTTCCACAGTTCTTCTATAACTTGTACGTAAAGAGAATGTTAGAAGTTTCGTTGGTAGTACGCTCAAATATGGGATGGGCCTGATAATTGGGCGCAGGTTTCTCTATTCTATTCGTGTAGTTGACATGACATACCATGACACTTTCGTCGAATTTCATATCACGGCAGTAAGAGATGATCATATCAGCGGGGAAGAAGCTTAAATACGCTATCTAAATAGGTAGGTACCTAAACGCCTCCAGATATCCGGAGTAGGTAGTATAATGTGAACAGCCAAGTATGACCGGCCACATGTACTCTTTTTGCGTGTTACCCTTCCATCAAATCATTTTCCAACGCTGATTCTTTTCTGTTTGTCTTTTTTTCTTTTCCGTTACTCGACGCCGTGGAGTAAACTCCTTCCCATCTCTTTCTGCGTAAAAACTATCTATCTCTGCCCCATCTCTGGCTTTAAGGAGTGACTTTGGTTAGGAAGTCCAGAGGACGGCTGGTCAACTATCTAACGCAGTGTCTACAGGATCGACAAGGGCTTATCGACCGCCTTCTCTTGTAAGAAAGTGTGAGAAGCCTCTGTCGGGGTGCCTGTAGAGCACGTTTAAAACGAAGTGAAAAACTAACTCGGGCTGATGGTCCCTTAAAGCTTGAAGGAGTGGACGTGGATGGAGGTGCGAGTCACTGTGTTGATGAACTCGTAGGGCCGTTTCTTTTGGTCGCCATCCCACAAGGGAAGATATCCAACTCTACCACCTGCCCTGAAGCAACAGATGGAGAGGTAAGTTCTTCCTGGTAGATCGTATTGGACCAGGCGCCTCCGCAACCATGCAAACTTGACCGTCAGCTAATCCAATCTTTTCGCCGATACCAAGTGTGGATCGACCTCCCCGGCCCTGCACATCCGAGGATGACAAAACCCTCCATAGATACCCGTCTGTTGCCTGACTGCGTATGCACGTGGGATTTTGTGTACGACCATAGACGGAGGTGTGAAGATGCCTTGTTCCCATCTGCTTGAGGTTCAGCTTGCACGAAACTATTGCGCAGAAGGTATATAGGCTGATAACCCACACCATGGAAAAGCCTATGAGGTATGAGGAGGATTGGCTTTAAGAGAGCAGCGAAACTCCTTGCAGCTACAGTTGGACAGTTCCAAGCTGGAGAAGGGTAAGTTGTCTGCCCGCTGGCCCGAAGGCTATCGGTAGCGTGTCGACAGAATGAGTGACATTCTGTCGTGCTCACCAAGTGACACATAAGAGGTCCATATGCTATACCACCGTTTGGGTTCAAGTGAACTATAAGCATTGTGTCGTGCGCTGCTTCCACGAGAGGAAGAGGGAGACCAACAACGCCTAGGAGCTCATCACTCAATCAAAACCTGTCCCGATCTGGCTGGCAAAAGCAGTGCTGACGCTCTTCTCGTCGTCATCATAACGGCGATATCCGTTGCCGACTCCCATGCGACCATTGCTCTCGACATACTGCTTAAGGCGATCGCTCTGGCTGTAGGAAGTAGGGCGGGCAGATCCGATGGCCTCGCTAAGGCCAGCACCGAGACTCGCGCCGCCCTGTCCGATACCCTTGCTGCCGATAACACTGGAAGTAGCATCGGTGAACTCGCTGTTGGCGACGCTCTCGCCTGCGATACTCTCTGTCGCACGACCACGGCCCTTAGCGCCCGGGCGTCCATTGGGACCAGCACCCGGCAGACCAGGCCACGCCTCAGGGTGAAAGTTTGAAAACATTGTGGGGTAAGCAGAGCTCAAACCGGCACCTCCCAGAGCGGAGCTATGGATGGATGAGACGTCATCCGGGATGTACGAGATCATGGAACCAGTCTCGTAATCTCTGACGGAGCCGGCAGTCAAGGGAGCAACGTACCGGCCATTAGACGCGCCGCTGGCAACATGTTGGGTGTGGCTGCGTTGCGGCCGGTAGGCCTGGCGAGGTCTGCCAAACTGAAGAAGGGAAGGCTGGAGGTTTGTGAGAGGGCCTTCGACGAGACACTTCTTGTCCTTGAAGTGAACGAGAAGATGGTGCCAGAGCTCATGTTTGCACAGAACCTTGGGGTTACCAATAATCACCAGACCATACTTGGCACGAGTGAGGGCGACGTTAAGACGACGGGGATCCGAAAGGAAACCAATGCCTTGGTTCTCGTTGGAGCGAACGCAGGACAGCACAATGAATTCCTTCTCTCGGCCCTGGAAGGCATCGACGGAAGCGACTTCAACTTCCCTGTAGGATTCCTTCTTGAACGTGCCGGTGTTCTGCATGGTGTTGACGATGTAGCTACGCTGGCCCTCGTACGGTGTAATGACACCGATGTCGGCAGGCTTGACACCGGCCTTGAAGAAGCGTGTGACAATCTTCTCGACGTTGGCGGCCTCAGTCCGGTTGAGGTACGACGTGCCTGAGGCCGAGATTTCCTCGTTGCCCAAGTTTGACCAGAACATCATGGGAGTCTCAGGGACCGGCCAGGGGAAATCGACATCCTTGCGGAGTCTCTCGGCGGCGGTGACGCCGTTCTGCAACGATCCATCGTAGAACATGTTGGAGGGGAACTCAGAGAGGCAAGGATGCATACGATACTGAACCTTCAGGCGAATGGGGGTAAACTGGAGCTTGACCAACCTCTCGAAGAGCGACTGGTTGAGGCCAGCCTTGGCAGCCTTCTTGTTCATGATGACAGGGCCAAGCTGCTTGTGGTCACCAACCAAGACAACTTGCTTACATCCAAGGACGAGCGGAATCATGCACTCGGGTTCGGCAGACTGTGTAGATTCGTCGATGAGCACATTGCGGAACTTCATCTTAGAAAGTCGTGGATCTCCGGCACCAACACAAGTGCAGCAGACTACATCAGCGTTCTGCAGAATCTCACGCTCAGCCTGGCGCGTCAGCTGCTTGAACCTCTTTTCATCCTGAGACGAAAGCTCGCCGGTCTCGGTCTTGAGCTTGACGAGGCCATCAAGCTCCTTGTTGGTAGTGTTCATGCGAACCTGCTCATGGAGAGCCAGAAAGCTGACGGAGGACTCGACATCCTCACGGGACTTGGCGGTCAAGCGAACGACCTTCAGGCCTGTTCTATGGATCCTCTCGCAGAGCTGGTCAACGGCGACGTTAGACGGAGCGCAAACGAGAACCTGGCTGTTGCTCATCTTGGCAAGATGATAGATGATGGTGGCCGAAGTGACGGTCTTTCCAGTTCCCGGAGGACCCTGGATAAGACTGAGAGGATTGGACAAGACCTGTTTAATGGCGGCGATTTGGCTGGCATTGAGCTCGGGAAGACCAGGAACATGGAACTTCTTGGGCATTGTAATCTTGGTTGGGGCAACTTGAACCTCGTGGCCCAACAGCTTGTGGAAAATGTAACCAGAAACACTCATCTCGTCGACGGCAAATGTCTTCATGGCCAGCTGCATGCGGTCGTAGGAGGTTGCCTTCCACACATAGTCAGCCGAGAAGTTGTGTGTGCACTCTGTCGGGACGGACTTGTCATTGGCAGATTTCCGAAGTTCCACCTCAACCTCATCGGACTGGTTGTTGGGAATCTTGATGACATATCCAACACCCTCCCAAGGCGGGCGCAGCTCTCCCTTGTACTTCAGACGCATCTCGTCACCCACGGCCAGCTTGACATCACCGGACTCGATCTTGGGAAGGATGAAGCTGGCGACATGCTTGCTGTTGAGACCAAGATGCCAGCGAACTTGAAGGCCATCCTCGGACTGTGCCTCCTTCAGCTTCTTGTCGTAATCGGATTCCATCTTGACGAGAGGGCCGAAAATGTTCTGATAATGATAGGGGTCGTCGTACTTAAGCAAGACCGGGTGAGGATCATCATCAACTCCAGCACTCTTTTCGAGATCGGCAACAGTCGCGTTGGGAGCCTCCTTCCACATTTCCTCGAGCTTGGCAATCATAGGCGGCGTAAGGTGGCGGGCACGAAGCTGCTCGGCATCTGTGGGAGGGGTAACGAGCCAGCTGAGGAACGCCCTGTCCTCGATCAAGGGCTGCCACCTAGATATATCCCAGCTCATATCCTTGGTCGACGTACTGGCACCACACGGCTGGCGACAAAGCAGGACCACAACGGTGTCTGACTTGGCAGGGATAAAACCGAGGATGAAAACATTCTTGGTACCGCAGTTGTAGCATTCGAGGACGGTATCGCCAAGGGAAGACTCGGGGTGCAGCTGGACTTCCTTGTGGCGAGCTCGAACGAGATGGTTGACAATGTGAGACGAGAAGCCGCTTCCTTTGGCGCTGCAGAACCACTTGTTGCAGGCAAGGCACTTGACGACGCTGGAGGGCGAGTGGATGCCACAGTAGGCGCAAGCGTGGGGAGGCAGTTCCTTCTCCTCCACAGGGGCATCCAGCTTGAGGCTCTTCATGCCGTCGACCGGAACGCTGGCCAAACTCTCGTCGTCATCGTCGTCGAGGACCTCGGTTTCGTTGTCGTCGTCATCGTGGCGGCGTCTGGCGTTGCCACGGGGACCACGTCCACCGTAGACACCAAGGAGAAGGTTTTCATCGGGATCGATATTGGAAAGCTCGTCGGAGCCACCGGCCTTGATGGCGGCAGCAGAATCGGAAACCAGGTGGTTTCCAAGATGTGTGAAGGACACCTCCATGTTGGCCATGATGGCGAGTGGTTGACGGAGGTAAACTCTGGAGCACCAGCAGTTGGTCAGTAGGAGTCTGGGAGGGAAAGTCGAACAGTGAGGCAGGCTGTGGTGGCTATGGTGGGGACGAGGCTGGCAGTGTTGATATACGCCGCGCGTCGACGTGTAGTTGTTGGGCGGGCAATGGGAAATAATGCCGTGTGTATTTCGGTCTATGTAGAAAATATGGCACGCAGATAGACGACGTACCTTGAAGAGTTCACTCCCGGAAGTTTGGGGTGAAAGTAAAATGTGGTGTCGTATTGCGGGTTGTCGCAATGCGGGACTCTGGAAAGATGTAGTTTATGGGATTGGAAGTCGTCTAAAAGGTCACATCATCGCAGGACGGGTTGGATCGGCGTGCGGGCGGTGTTGCGCGCGGGGTTTCGAAAACCACGACACTGCCAAAATTTTGAGATTGTCGACGCAGCGTGAGACTATCGGGTCGTTGGTTCTTGGTTGTGAGGCAAATGGTTGCCGCCGTTGTTGGTGACGGTCGTTGTTTGCTTTGGGAATTTTGCCGGCGGACGACTTTGTGTTGGCGGACGGGTCACGGTTGGAGGTTGAATGGATCGGAGGGATTGATGGATGGCAACAAAATGTGGAGGTCTTTGGTCAGCAGCAGCAGCCTCTGTTTAGGTTGGAGAGGCACAGAACGTTTCTTCATCGCCTTTCCCACTGACGTCCGCTGCAGCACCCGCTGACGAACTTCCTGCCAGGGAGTCACAGCGCCTGAAAACGCCCTGTAGAAACCAGCAAGTACCGGCAAACCACAAGGGAAGGTGGCGTCTCGACCGGGCGCGATCCCGTCTCCGGCAGGCGCAAATCGAAGAATCCCATCCGCCAAGAGAAAAGGTCCGTGCACCCCGCGTTTAGTCCGATTGATTGTAACTTTTTGACTTTTTTTCCTTCCATCGCATTCAACACCCCTGTCGTCACCAACCACTCCGCCCTCCACTATCCGGACATCTGAATTTCTGCCAGTCTTCGCAGCCTTAATTCTTATCGACGACCTCATCCTCAACTACCTAGCACTTCGCTGTCGCCTAGTACACAACAAACGATTTTCCGACGTCTGCGCATTCTCCTCCGAAGTCAGTTATCGCCGTCCGATAAGGATTTCAACATAGCAAGATGATTGTAAGTGTGCCCGTTATTCTCGTCTTCTCCAAGCTCTTTTATGTCCATAGCTAACAACTGCAATAGAGAAAGCAAGCTCGCCAAAGGCGCGACTACCTTTACCGAAAAGCCCTCCTGCTCAAGGAGGCCGAAGTTGCAGAGAAGCGCGCCAAGCTAAGGTCTGCTTTGGCCTCTGGCAAGCCGCTCGACCCCGAGATTGCGAAGGACAAGGAACTGCGGAAGGACTTCGACTACGATGTTTCAAGGGATGTGAACGGCGACGCTATCGATATTGACGACGAATACTCGGAGTTGTCAGGTGTCATTGACCCCAGGATCTTGGTTACCACAAGTCGCGATCCCTCCAGCAGACTCGGCCAGTTCAGCAAGGAAATCCGCCTCCTACTACCTACCAGTGTTCGCCTCAACCGTGGTAATCTCGTTTTGGAAGACCTTGTTGGTGCCGCGAAGGCGCAAAACTTGACGGATGTTGTTTTGCTACACGAGCATCGTGGTGTCCCTACGGCCATGACCATCTCCCACTTTGTACGTTGCCCTATGCTTTACTTGCAGAAAGCATGTCCTAACCATTGCCATAGCCCCATGGTCCTACGCTCATGGTCTCCCTCCACAACGTCGTTCTCCGCGCCGATATCCCCAAGTCGATAAAGGGCACAGTCAGCGAAAGCTACCCTAGGTTAATCTTCGAGGGCTTCAACACCAAGCTTGGCGAGCGTGTGGTCAAGATCCTCAAGCACCTCTTCCCGCCCCGCGAGGCGACACAGAAACCCAACGTCGGCAACAGAGTCATCACATTTGTCAACAACGACGATACCATTGAGGTCAGACACCACGTCTATGTCCGTACCTCGTATGACTCGGTGGAGCTCAGTGAGGTCGGACCCCGGTTCACGATGAAGCCCTTCAAGATCACCATGGGCACCCTCGACAACAAGGATGCGGATACCGAGTGGCACCTTAGCCAGTACACCAGGACCAGCAGGAAGAAGAACTACTTTTAAGCGGCGAGTTGGACGAAGGAGACGCTATAGTCGTGTGGTTCTCGGTATGGGTCAGCGGGCGAAAGGACACAGCAAAATGGGCGTGGCTTCAGAGGCAATTTGCTACTGGAACACGAAGGCAAAGCACTAGGAATGGTGCTTGAGGCGGACAACCCCGAAGAAGAGGGCAGTCGAGACGAACACAAAGACGCTACCCGGCGTCAAGGAGTCGTTTTCGTCAGTCTGTCTGCTGCTCGGTATTTGGGAGGCCATTGGAAGCCCCCCTCGGATGCTTGGACGAGTTCAAGCTCATATCATCCTCCAACGCCCAAGGGAAAACGTGGCTGGCCAAGACAACGACTATTGTGTTTCAGCTTCGACGGTCTGGTGGAACCGATGAAGATAGCACCAACGTCTGACTAGTGATCGACGGGGTTTATGTGTCGGCCGCTTACCGAGTGGCTGTGAGGACTGGAAGGTCCCGCAGTGAAACGAGGATGCTGTCATGCCTGTCAAAAGACGTGTCAACACTACATACTGGGAGAGGGAATTAGAAAAGGACGAGCAGCAGTCTCATGAGATACCTGTTGGGATTTGGATGTAATTTTTAAGAGCATTGGGTTCACATAAGGACACGGAAAGGAGTTGATGGTGTAAAGGTATCATTTCTCAGGGGTGGAATACACAAAACATGTGATCGACAAATGCTTCAATCTTGGTGTAGGTACTGGGTGATGGCACGCAAAGAAAGACAGGATGTTTAAGCGGCTGAGCAGCTGAGCAGCAAGGCGGACTTGGGAACATAAAGTCCGCAGATCAATGAGATCAGTTAAAGAACCGAAAAGCAAACATTCCACGAACTCGAAACAAGCCCTGCCAAGCTTTCAGGAAAAGACCCCTTTCCCCTTGAGACTCCATTCCAAACAAAAAGAAAGGGGGCACGTCGGCGTGGAGACTTGGCTTCGTGGGGCCGCCTGCACGCTTCTTTTTGAGGGTCCACACGATTGGTTCCTCACCTCCCACTCTTCCAATCTTTTGGACCTGCGCAAGTGCCAATTGCCAGATCACAATCGATGATATCGTCACCGGGCGGCAACAGGATGGTTTCCCATCTGCCCATGTCTTTGCCATTGGAGAATTACGCCATCCAAGTTTGCCATCCTACCGTTCACGTGGTAACTGTGACGGCAAGTCGGAGCTATTGACAGCGGATACCACGTTCGACAACACGTCTTCAAAGAGTTCATCAGGCTGTTAGAGGTGTACCTTGTGTTGCCCTCCCTTCCCAGAACTGTTGACAAGAACAGCGAACAGCCTCACAGCCAGTTGTCAGCTTTTGAAGCTGTGCCTTGACGCTACATTTCGTGCAGACTGCTGCAGCTGAGCTTGGGCGCAGCAACAAGAACATGTGGGTCAGGAACCCGTTGAGACCGAGACTCTTTTCCCATTATAGCTTTGAGAGTCTCTGGCTCAGCATTCATCATCATGGGAAGAGACCGAGGGATAACTATTATTCATAGCAGCAGAGCATGACTTCTGAGCTTCAGTCCGAGAGAGCTTCATGGAATGACTGCATCTTATATCTATTGACTCGGATGTAAAAGCCTTTCAGCCTCTCCCAGCCGCCGCCCTGTTCAGCCCTTCCCTCCCATCGGAACTTCGATACATGATTCTAGGCCTTCCATCGACTCCGTTTCAGGGTTCCGAGTGTTCTGCAGTCTGACGAACGTGTCTGATATCATCGCATTGCTGAATAAATTGCATGTTAATTGACCTGAACAATGATATTGAATATACCTACTCATCCACGAGCATTGCAATCCAAAAGTCGACTTCCTTGAACATTCTCCGCTCCGGCACAAAGCATCAAGAAGCTGGAACCCTGTGAGAAAATAGAGCAAGAAAAAACAATGAGAAAGGATTTTGCGGGTCATTCGCACCGTTGGCGTTTTGAATCTCCGACCCCGTCTCCGTCGGGTACCTTGCTAACAAAAAAACTGCCCTGAAACTATTCCGTCTTGGGACGACTAGGCCGTACAGCGTTAACAGCATGGCCGCACCGCCAAAAACTTGCCCGCCGTGAGAGGATCGCCAGCCCACAGCCCGCTTCCTTTGCCTCCAATTCATTGGCCATTGGTCGCCCTCGCTGCTGCACCCCCAAATTTAAACGAGAGCGCACCGTCGCTGCAGGTCGCACTGCCCTCTCCGTCTTTTGCACTCAGTGACTGGTCCAGTCAAATCAGAAAAGAAGCAGCAGCCTGTTCGTCCGTCTTTTTTCCTTCAGTTTTGGTCAGCGGTCATCATATTCTGTGAGGCTGGGCTCTTTCGGTTCTTACCACACCATTCACCATTGTCGTCGCTGCACTCCTTCCGAGGTTTCCTTGTCCCTCTCTCTACCAACAACAAAACCAGTCAATACCACCCGGCGCCCCCGGTCAATTTCATCCGTACCTTATTCCTACCTTAATCCGTTAATTTGTTGGCTTCTTCCCTCTTACCGTCGCAATTGGAAGAACAACCCAAGTCTTTGTTGTGTGCGACTGAAAGAAGGATCGCACCGCCTCCCGACGTGATACACCACGACGAAACAATTGAATCAATCAATCCGACTATCCACCACCGTCAACCAACTATCCGGCACATTCACGTCCGTGCAATTGAATCGAGAACAAGCGACTTCATCTCAGAAATATCCAAACAGTAGCAACCATGTCTTATAATCAAAATCCCTACGGTCAGCCCAACCCTTACAACGAGGGTCCTTCGGCGGAGGGCGGTTACGGCGGCAGCTATGGCGACGGCAACTATGGTGGAGGATACGACAACAACGGCTACGGTCAAGTGAGCAAGCTCCCTCCATATTGCAACAAGACCTCTTCGTCGCATCCCTCGAGTCATTTAGTCCGATGATGTCGATGCGCGCCGAGGTCAAAGGTCGCAATGGAACCTCGACTATGCCGGAATTCAGATTAGCTGACCTACTTTACTCCCTTGCAGCAGCCCGAGTCACACGAGATGCAGACATATCCCCATGAACAACGTCAACCTCACGGCCCTGATGCCACAGCCACCGGCACTCCTCTATCCCAGCAAGAATTCCTGAACAGCGTCCGCGACGTCGAAGGCCATATTCAACAGTTCCGCTCGAACCTCGACCAGATCCGTACACTCCACCAACAGTCCCTCTCTGACACCAGCGGCCGCCCACCCCCGGGCCTCGAGCAGCTGCAGGCCGTGACCGAGCAGCTCAAGTCGCAGATCAAGAGCGAAGTCGACAACCTCGTATCCGATGCCACCCGCACCGGCGACAGCACCTTCAACACCAAGAAGCGCCAGGCTGAGCGCCTCAGGGATTTGTACAAGGATGCCATTCAGGCCTATCTTGTGGAGGAGCGTCGTCACAAGGGTCAAATCGGCGAGCAGGCCGTCCGTCAACTGTTGATTGTCAATCCCGATGCGACGCCCCAGGAGCAGGATGCCGTGCGCAGCGGTGACTTGCAGCAGGATCAGATCTTCCAAAGTGCTGTACGTTATTCCCCGCTTGAATATCCTACTTTACGCTTGCTAACTCCCGTCGATAGCTCCTACAATCCAACCGCGTTGGCGCCGCCAAGGCCGTTCTCGGCAACGTCCAAGCCCGCCACCAGGAACTTCTCCGCGTCGAGCAATCGATGCAAGAGCTCGCCCAGCTCTTCGAGTACCTCAACACGCTCATCGTTCAGCAGGGCGAAGTAATCGCCGACGTGGTCCAAAAGACGGAACAGGTCAATGACAACATGGACAAGGGCATCCAGGAGGTTGACAAGGGCGTCAAGCACGCCCGCAATCGCCGCAAGCTCAAGTGGTACTGCCTCCTGGTGTGCGTGCTCATCATCATCGCCATTGCGCTCGGTGTCGGTCTGGGTGTGTACTTCAACCAAAAGAAGGATTAGAAGTCCGGTGGTGGTTCGGAAGATGAAGACGCAGATGAGGCTGGCGGGTTGAAAGGGTCCAGGCCGCCGGCGCAGCAGCAGCAGCAATCACAGCAGGCGCAGGCGCAGTTTATTCCTCCGGTGCCGGTAATTCCCCCATTCGCTCCGGCGCCTGGTCCGCTTCCTACGGTTGTTCCAGTGGCTGCTGCTCCAGTGCCTACTTCAGCAGCAGGCGGAGTTGCTGGTCAGGATGGGGCTCAGGCTCCTCAGACTCAGCCCCAAGGACTGAGTTGGAACGCGACAATGGCTAGAGAGAAGAGATTCTACGGTGGGGGTTGGTAATCGATGACCGATACCCAACTCAAAACCCACACAACAAATACCCAAGAGAAGGAAGAAGGAAAGAGGTGTGGAACGATGGATATACATGATATGTATACGGGTTGGTATGTTAGCAAAGCATGTTTTTACGCGAACGAAACCCGGAACGTAATAATCACGAACGACGAATGGATTGGACGGAAGACGGACGGGCGGTGGGTGATGGATGGATGAGGAGGGGGTTTCTTCTTTTTGTTTTCTTCTATTTTCTTCTGGTGCGAAGCTTCATGTTATACTCCCCCCCGTTATGGTTTTTTGGTGCAAAACTTGTTTTACATTAGTAATTACTTTCTTCTTTTACTGCACTGCTATGGCTTTTTTCTGGTCACTCTTTGCCCGTGATAGGGGCTGTTCTGGGTTGTGTGGTGAGCAGTGTATTGTGTATGACTGAAGCGAAAAATAGACAAGTCTATATAAGTATATGCCATTAATGACATTGCTAAAGCGACTCTGTATGTTATCCTTGAACTATACAACATTTGTTTCGTTGAGGATCTTTGGCTTAAGCTCAGCGCAAATGCGCAAGTAGTGACGGGAACTCGGCTAGAAATGTGTGAGAATGAATGACTAGAGATAAGTGAGAGAGTATGATGAACCTCACAGGTAGCCATCACGCGTAGGCCGTAGAACCACTCAAAAAAAAAGTCAAAATGAAGGTGCCAGCCATACCATACCTAAATGAGGATATCACTCATGTCTTCCCTCCTTTAAATGCCTACTTACCTACCTACCTACCTACCTACCTACCTACCTACCTACCTACCTACCTACCTACCTACCTACCTACCTACCTTACTGAACGACGATGAGCATGGAAGTGAAGATTGAAGACTGAGAACTGAACCAAAGCAACTCCTGATCCTGACATGAAGCCACGAGAATTAGGACACGTTCGATATTACTACTTGCCGTATTTGATGTAAATAGGTTGTTGTTAAGTTCTTCTGGATACCTACCTACCGGGGTGAACGAGTACCGGGATGACAGGTTGATAGCACTTAGTTACTTACTTTCTGTATTTGTCCGTCGTCATCGTCGTCATCGTCGCCGTTGATACTACTGTAACTGTAACTGTTGTACCGACAGATGGATATATAGAACTAATTGATTGCTAGCGGGGAATGGCTATGTTCCCTCTCACGCTGTGTTAGGGTTTGAGTTTTGGCCTGGACAAGATGTTGCTTCCTTGTTCTGAATGGAGTTTAGCAAAGAGAGATATATAGATTGAGACCATTATGGGGAGATTACACAGGTGTTCGGGCAAGTACCATTTTGTTTTGTAAATGGAGTTGATACGTAGTTTACCTGATTGGGATGAGATAATCGCCTTCTGTAATGAGTTGGCTCAACTGACTCATGTGGCAAGACGGTATTGCATCTTGTTTACAAGCGCTTGTATACTAACCAAGCTGAATATGAATGGAATTCACCTGAAGAATTGGCGAACGAAAAGGAGATCGAGAGAGGAAGCGGGATCAACTCCATTCAACCGAATCAAATGCCAATTTGACCCTAGAACTGCAACATGACATGAATGCAATGACCTAATAGAAGGATGATAATGAATTGACGATGATGTGTAGTGACGAGGTTTTTGTCGCGAGAGAGACAGAAGAGAGAAAAGTATAAAAAGCATTGCATCCCAACCTATCCCAACCTATGTAAACACCAGCCAACCATTCATCCATTCGACCGTCCCCTTACAGCAACAAAAGCGACCCTTTTAATGTACAGTACTGCTTTTCACATTCGTTTCAAACTTTCAACGCTTTCTTTATTTCTCTTCCTTTTTATCATGCTACACAGTAATCATGACACGCTTTTACCGCATGCCGGGACCACCGCTCATACCCTGGAGCTTGCTGGCAAGCTCGGGGTAGTTCTCCTGGACCTGGATCTGTGTCCTCGTGGCTTCGGCATACGAAAGAGCGTTGACGAGTTCGCCTTCGGTGCGGGCGAGCTCGGCGGCGCGCTCGAAGAACTTGAGGGCCTCGACGACCTTGCCCTGCTGGAGGAGGAGCTGGGCCATGGTGGCGACGGCGATATCGCACTCGGGGTCGACTGGAAGCGGTTTGTTAGCGCATGATAGATTAAAATGCAATTCAAGAATGGGGCTGTCTTACTGATGAGGGCCTTCTCGCAGAGCTGCTCAGCCTCGGCGTAATCCTGCTTCCACTGGAAGAGGGCAAGAGCCTTGTTGATGAGGGGAAGAACGTTCATGCACATGGGCTTGGTCTCCTTCTCGAGGGCGATAGCAGTGTCGAACTTCTCAATGGCCTCCTGGAACTTGTTCTGGTCGAGGAGAAGCTCGCCATAGTAGTTGTAGACATCGGGAGTCTGGTCAAAGTTCTTCATGCAGCGGCGGAAGGTGGCCATGGAAGAGGCGATGGAGCCCATCTTGTACTGGGTAACACCAAGCTGGATGTGAGAGAAGATGAAGTCGGAGTCGAGGTCGATGGACTTCTGGTAATCCTTAGCCGCCTCGGCGAACTCCCCCTTAATAAAGTGGAGCTGGGCGCGGTGGTAGTAGATATCAGGGTCCTCGGCGTTCTGCTCAATGGCCTTGTTGAAGTCCTCCTCGGCCTTATCGGGGTGACCTGCATACGGGTTAGCACAGATTCCGTCAATGATTCATGGACGAAAACTTACCGAGCTCAAGGTTCATGCTAGCACGCTTGATGTAGCTCTGGGTCATCGCAGGGTCGAGCTCGATGGACTTGCTGAGATCGGCGAGAGCCTCCTCGTGCTTGCCCATGAGGCAGTGAAAGGTACCACGGAGATTGTAGGCAAGAGCCTCGTGAGCGCCAAGCTCACCGAGGTCGAGGGCCTTCTTGAAGGCGGCGGAAGCCTCCTCGTAACCAGTACCAGTCTTGCTCTCCAAGTGCTTCAAGCCGAGCTGCATCTGACCAAGGCCGGTCTCCTCGGAGAGCTCAACAGAGTCCTCGAGGCCCTCAGGGCGGGGCTTGGAGCGGAAGCTCTGGAGGTAGTTGCCGACGAAGGTAGAGCTGGGGAGCTTAGGGGGCTTGGTCTCGAGGATCTCCTTGGCCTTGTTCTCGGCGAACTTCTTGAGGAGGCGCTCGACGGCCTGGGCGCTCTGCTCGTTGCGGAAGCCGTCGATGATGCAGCTGGCGGTGAAATCGAGAAGAGCGTCGCTGTAACGGCTAAGCTGGTCGTAAGCATTGGCACGGCGGTTCAGGGCCTTGACGTAGTGGGGGTCGAGCTTGAGGGCGGCGGTGGTATCGGCGACAACCTGCTCCCACTCGGCGAGGGCATTGTGGCAAGCGGCGCGGTTGGAGAAGTAGACGGGGTCGGGCTTGCAGATGATGGCCTTGGAGTAGAGTTCGATGGCCTTGTTGAAGTCCTTGGAACCGTAGGCCTTGTTTCCGAGCTCCTTCAGCTTGGCAGCGTACGCCTTGCGCTCCTCCTCGGATAGCCTGACGACGGACTCCTCATCAATCTCGGGGAGCTCGTCGGCGCTCTCGACGACGGCGGCCTTGGGTTGTGTAGGGGCGGCCTCTTCTGTGGGGGAAGTAGCAGCCTTCTCGGCCTCCTCCTTCTCGGCCTGCTTCCGTTTCCTCCTTTCCTTCTTGCTGAGCTTGGGGCCGGACTCCTTCTGCTCCTGTGAAAGTGGGCGCAAAGGTTAGTACAAACAACGACGAGGCTTCGTGCAGCCGGGTAGGGCGCAGGGCAGCAGCAGCAGCAGCAGCAGCAGCAGCAGCAGCAGCGGGAGACGGAACGCGAGGAAGATGCGCGGCAACGTACTGATCCCTTGCGGAGGTAGTAGACAACACCGGCGGTGGTGATGACGACGGAAACACCAGCAATGGTGTAGACAACAGCCTTGTTCTCGGAGACCCAGTTGGAGACGCGGTCCCAGATGGAGGAGTCGGCCGGGACAGTGACGGGCGTGGCCACCGGGATGGGGACCGAGGGCGGCGGGATGGTGGGAGCCATGGTTATATGTGGTGATGCGAAAGGAAAACCTCTAGTAGTAGATAAGGCAAACAATCCGGATGTATACTAGATCGGAGTCGGTAGAGAGACAACCGAATGGCAAGGCTGAAGGTGGGAAATCAATCGAGGAGACGAAGGGACGGCGGCGGCAAGTTCAGAGACAGATTCCGGCAACTGCTGCAGTGACGAGTGAAGTTCCTCTATTTTTTTGAGTGGATGATGCGGGTTCCGAGCATGGGTTGGACTTGGATAGCGCGGCGACGGCCACAGCCCACGGCAACCGAACTTCAAGGTTGGGCCCGGGGTGCTCCTTCACTTTCTTCTACACTACAGGTTCTATTTCTTGGCACACGGCAGTCCACAATAAGTTCACAGGGCAGGTACGCGCACAGTCACTGGAGACGTCTAAGGAGCAAATGACAAGCTTGGTAATGCTCGATGGCATGGATGAGTATGGATTGTCTTGTCTGCTGGGGCTCCCGCTCGAGCTCCGAGATCTTCGTTGTGCGAGAAAAAAGTTGTTTTTCACGGGCGGCAGTGCGGCTGGCGGCTGGGCAACCGGCAAGCAAACAATCGAGGCCTGATACTATCGAGTAAAGAGACAGTGTTGGGCAGTTCAACGCTGAGTTGGTCTGAGCTCCTTCAAGCTACCATCTCCGATGTTGCTAGAGCAGCTGATACCTGAGCGAACTCGGTTTAAAGCTCAGCACTGTCAGTTTACCCGAAGATAACCGGGAGCTGAACCTCCCCTTTTCCCGTCAACTTTCTTTAATCCAATGAGTTCGACATCCATATCGAATTATAGAGGCTTGATAAAGTCCCTTGTTAGAACCTGTAGGCCTCCGAGATATGTTGCTTTAGACGGCCATCAACCTCCCTCACCTCCATAGCCGAGATATCTCTCACCCGAGGGGAAATTGGACAAACGCCAAGAATGACCGCACACGGTGGGGTAAACTTGCGCCGACGTCAATAAAAGTGGGGATCAGGGCAGCTCGGGAGTTCCACTTTAAAGTTGAACGCCCCCGCCATCGGCCATCAATGTCATCCCGTCTCGACCTTCCCGTTGAATGCCGTCTTGGATGCAACCGTGATTGCTTTCATCGGAACATTTTGCTGCAACTTTCTTCATCCTGTCATCAACGGCGGCTTCTTGAAATGGACCTCAGCTGTCTTTATACACTCGGTTCCATTCATTCGGTGATAACGGCATAGAAGATCCTCTCGTCCAAGTGTCTACACCGGGACGACGACAGACGAGTGTATCGGGCCATCAAGGTGGATCATGTGTCATATACAGCCGATAATACATATTCACAGATATCTCATCTTCCACCATTCGTCTTGAATTTTCCACGTCCCTTCTAACATACGAGTTCTTGTCATTTCTGCAACCTAACCTTCAAAGACAGGAACAACCTTACCATGGCGACCAACACAGAACCTCCCCTCCTCCTCTTCACTACCCTCCGCTACGACCCTCTCCTCTCCGAGGGTTCCAGTGACGGCTCGACCACCGGATTGTACATGCTCCCCTACCACCGCGACCGCATCCTTTGCGCAGCCACTCACTTCCACTGGCCCGCCGTCATCTCCCTCCTCTCCGGTGACAGCGGCCTCGAAACTCTCTCCTCATTCATCCTCTCCTCCCTCTCCGACGAGCAACGATCTCACCCAAACCGCATCCGTGTAACCGTCTCCGAGAAAGGAGAGCTAGGCATCACCATCTCACCCGTACCGCCCGTCTTTTCTCCGCTCAACTTATTCCCACCTGAGCTTCCCCAATCGAGCGCCGATATTTCACCGCAGTCCCTCAAGGGAGAGGCAGTGCCGTTCGAGGTCCTAGTGGATACACAGAAGTCCAAGAAGTCGGCCTATACACACTTCAAGACTACCAAGCGCCAAGTCTACGATGAAGCGAGGAAGAGACATGGGATTGCGTTGACGGATCGGAAGGAGGTGTTGCTTGTCAGTGAGCAAGGGGAGGTGATGGAGGGCAGTATTGCGACGCCGTACTTCTGGAGAGACGGGAGATGGGTTACGCCGCCGGTTAGGGAGGAAGAGGATGGTTGGGGGAGTGGCGGCAATGAAGGCACCACGAGGAGGTGGGCTTTGGAGAGGTGAGTCTTCCTCTGCTGTGAGATGATGGTATCTCTTGGCGGTTCTGCTAACGGCGCATTGAAAGGGGAATTGCGGTTGAGCTGGTTGTACTGGCAGGCTCGCTGGTGGATGATGAAGAGTGCTGGTTGAGCAATGGTGGGAGAGGGTTCTACTTTGGAAAGGTCAAGCTAAGCCCTTGAGAAGTGGGAACAGGATGAATGATGTCCAGGGGCAATATAATGCTTTGCATTGTGCCGGGGAACAATCCTCGTAGTCTCTCTTCTTCTACTGCAAGATTTGGTTTGCGAGTGTCCGTTGGTGCTACCAGGGCAGATAAGGGGGGAATGTTTGTTTGTTTCCATCTCTGGCATCACTAGGGCAACGCACCAGGATACCAGGCTCACCACACTGGGTGGTCCCCCATCGTGAAACCCCCATGAGACTTTCGGAAGCAAGGTTCCATGGTGCCTCAGCTGAATCAGGCTGGCGGCTACATTTCTACAAGCTCCAATACAGGAGACGCAATGGTATATAAATCCTATGAGTGGTAATTCCGCAGGCTCCGGCGAGGAACAGTAAGCAAGCCACTGTTGAGGTTGGTTCCAGCTGATGTTGATCATGTAGATAAGAGGCCATGATGACAGGTAGTTGTACTACCGTAGTGAAGACTATCCCTCCCGAGGACTAACTTTATGTGATATATGATGTTATCATTCCTTTCACGATGGATTCGGGCTCGCTCTCTTGCTCTGGTCTCGTACGATCGTTGAAAGTCTATCTTTCCGCTAGGGAGAAGACATTTCCGTTTGTTTCTTGGGTAAATCGATATCATGATTGGATCCTTGACGTGGGCAAACAAAATTTCAATATAAAGGAGACCATACTGACAACCAAAGAAACATTGGTCCTTCCATTGCTAGAGCGGATACATCAAGATAATGAACAGTGTTTTTGACAGTCAGCTTATTTATCCATTTTCCTCCATCTCACAGAAACAGAACCACGCTTTCCAGGTATCCCAGGAAAAGAACAAGAAGAAGACATTGATCTGTTATGCAACTCCGTCTCTTTTCAACCTCCTGATAGTACTATCACCGTTGTTCGTTCCACGTGCAGGATATATTAGTTGTCTGGTCAGGACCACCATGGCACTGTCGAAAACATTCGTCCTTTTCATTGATCACACGAGTCACGCCGAAACAAGCTCGATTACTCGATTCTCTGTTGTTCTTCACCACTTGAAACAGTGATTGATAAGATCTCTGGGGAAGAGGAGTAGAAACAGAAACAACGAAAGGAATCAAATACATACAGGATGACAAAACAGAAACAAAAATGGAAGGAGCGTACCCAGAGATGTGTACCAAGCCGAAGGGAGCTTTCGAATCACTCCGAAACTCGCTCCTTCCCAGCTCGTCTTTTGCCCCTTCTACTGGAAGCCTCAAGGAGCTCCTTCTCTTCTTCTCTCTCTCTCTTCGTTCTTTCCTTCTTCGTATTTGACGATACTTCAATACCTGCCCCTGTTCTGCTGGGGCAGTCACCAATTAGCCAAATCACCCATCGTCGCTTCCGAAATCCGAAATGGTCGCATTTCCCGTCCACGGCCTCCTGAAGAGAAGAGAAGAGAAGAAGTGCGGACAGTTCCGTTCCATCCTTTGCTGCTGCGTCAATGATATTGACTGGCGAAGATGGGCAGACAACATTGCTGTTTCTCTTCATCAGAGAGGTGTCTACAAACCTCGAATTCCATGAGTGACACCCAAAAAGGTTGATTGTCAACATACTGGAGTACCCTTCTGTCTTTTGCGTGGCTTTTACTTGTCTGGTATCGAGGGGCCGTTGTGCCAGAGGCACCATAAGGTCACAAAGGGGACTCAAAGCCTTGACATGGGCGAGGTATCTCATCAGGTCCTGCGAGGGACACAATTACACTGGAGACATTGTACACCTCTTTCATCTATTGATGGATGTGCAAATGCCACTCGTTTCCATATCGCAACCAACGACCTGGATGGACACACATGTATTTCAGGATTCTGCATGGGGATACTGCGTAGAAAGAAGAAAAAGACGGGAAATGAGAGAGAGAGCCGAGGGATAGACGCCGTTGCAAGTCTATAATATCTATCGATCCAGCCATAGGTCATCGGAAGAGCTCCTTGCTTTGAGCTGGGTGATTACCCCATAGGAAGTTGAAATGCCGTTTGGCATGTTGGACGATATGCTTGACAAGTCAAGTTATATACGTATCTTTCAGTGAATTCGCAATGGCTATGGGCAATACTAAACCGTCACCGACAATCTTCGCGCAATCCTCTCTTTAGCCATCTACTCGTCAGATCTACAAAACCGACCGTCTAACCAGCGGCGGATACACAGTAGAGCAAAGGGAGAGAGTTAAGAGATCCATTGATATCGCGCCCGGTTGTGTGTTCCTTGATCACCCGCGCCATCTCGCTCAAGATGTTCGAAACGTCCTACGAGTAAAGTCGACAGTCAACTACGGGGTTCTCTTGAACCGGAACTCCTCAAGGGCCGTATTATTATGGCATGCGATAGTCAGGAATGGCACGAGATGCATCAACAAAGTTCGATGTCGGCGTAGGTATCAACCCGGTCTCCGTCTCTCATCCCGAGCACACTCTCAGCATCGGCGTAACGGCGTTTTCATCCCGCTTGCGTGCTCGATCAAGGTTGTGAGCTTTGCCTGCGGATGCAAAAATCGAACTCGAATCCGAACTGGAACTGGAACTGGAACTCCAATTCAGACGCACAAGACTCGACAAAGCTCTCGCAACTGCCGACCTCCTACAGTCCTACTCAGTCGCTATCACGTAAAACCAAGACTCTTTTACAGGCGGACCCCTAGTTTGAGGCCATCAAGGCGTTTTTCTCTCGAAAAGTTCTTGGCAGGCGGAGTGTTGTCCTCTTCATGATTTTGCCAACAGTCAGCCAAAAAAATTAAAAATTGAGGCAGGGCAGGCAGGATTCGTTGTTCACAGCCGGAGACACGCTACTCTTTTGCGCAATGCGCCAAGCATGAAGTCAATCCAAACTGAACTTCACGATGGATGGCCAAGTCCTGGTGTCCCAGCCAATTTGTCTGGGCAAGCTGGGCGCAGCAAAGAAAAAAAGAGCTGCAAAAGGTGACCACGTGGGCAACGCCTCTTCCGTCAGCCATTCACCATCCATCCATTGCGCGATTCCGTGCGCTGTGCTGAGTGGGAAGAAAAAGACAAAAAATCTGCTGGTCAGTCGGTCGCCAAGATTCGCTACGTAGTGTACAATACTTCCGGTTCGATTCGGTCAGGGTTTTGAAAGTTTCGAAACTTTCAACGGTACGATCGGTATAAACGGGGAGGCGGCGAGAAACCACTGCACCCTATGACCATGGGAGACGAGCGCAGCGACGAGTAAGCTGAGGAGGATGAGGAAAAAGAATTTTCGTGCCGTGCAGTCAGCGAAGCAGTCAGTGTGCTGAGTGTGAGTAGGAGCGAGGAAAAGAAAAGTAAGCTAGCGCCGAGACTTTGTGGCGAGCGGACTGGCGGCGGCGATGGGCTTTGCTTGCTTGTTCTTTTCTGTTGGTTGTTTCGTCCCGTCGTCCGGCGCTTCCAAGGTCCAGGCGTTTCTGGCGTCGTTGCGTGCTGTGCTGTTCAAAATCCTTTTTTTCTCCCTTTCTCCCTCTGGGCTGCTTCCATTGCGGCATTGCTGATTTTTTGCTTCGGCCGCTGACAACCGTTGTTACTTCGTTGGTTTCGCTGGCTTCGTTGTTTGATGCACCAATCGCTGAATGAATTCCGATTTTGGTGGGAGCTGCCCAGCTCATTGGAGGATGCCGCCGCCGCTACGGTCGCCGCTGCTGCGAAAAAGAGGGAAGCAGGGATGTCGTTCGTGAACAGCGAAAGAGGTGCCGTGGCCTGGAAGTGCCTTGGTGGGAAGGACCGAGGAACATGGAAGACGGAGAAAAAGGAGGCTCTGCAAGTTCTGTAACCGAAGCAAAATGCAAGGTGACCTCAACCACCACACTGCACACCCACAGCGCGGAGCCGACCGAAGGTACAGTGGTGTAGCGGATGTACTGTTGGTTGGTGTCGGTGTGGTTGGCCAAAGCCGAGGAGGTTCTGTTGGTTGAGTGTGTAACCGAAGATGCAAGCATTTCTTGTCTTCTCCGTCACACCGCACAACGAAGGCAAAAAAGTTTGAAGTAACGTTGGAAATATGGCATTCTTAAAAATCGATGAATGACAAAGCCAGATCCTGATCAACAATTCGAGATTGTCGAGAAAACAAAGTTTTCTAGAAAGTCCTTATCGCGGGAACAAACCGTTCCTGGCAAGTTTCCCGTTGGTTCGTTGACCCGGGCCATCGGTTGGCGGTTTGACACAGGGCACAACGGACGGCACCTTATCAGCGCAGGACGGGAGCGAGCGAGGGCGAGAAAAGGGCGAACAAGCCCGGAGAGGCGGGAGACAGGGTGGCAGCTTTACCCCGGATTTTCGTTGCAAGCCTCACACTCCCGCGTCTTCCTTTTTTTTTGTTGGTCTGTGTGTTTGAACGTTCGGCCCGCGGCTACCTTACCAACTTTCAACTCCCAGAGAGGTCCGCATGAACGAACCGAAAGCATGACTCCCATATTTTCATCGACACTTGATCCCACGTGGTGTTGCTTTGGGATCGGGCTTTGTTCGTGAGGGGAAAGCGGGCTTGTTTCCAATTTCCCATCACGTTGTTTCTCAACTCATCCGCATGACTTGCTTTCACCGTGAATTGGGACCGCCCGGCTCCCCCTTGGCTTTGTTCAAAACGAGGGGTAACGTTGGTTTCGTGATCCATCTTGCCGACGATCTTGGTCGAGGGCTTCAGGACTTGGGTTTGGCTTCTTGACTCCATCGTGAATTTCTTCTATTACGTTTAGATGATTGGCTTTTACTTGGCCACTACCGACCGCTCCCACTTCAGCCTGAGCTGACTTTTGGTTTCCATTTCAGGCTCTCTTGCTTCTTCACCATGAGGATCCAGGGGCAACACTAGCTGTTTGAACAGTCTCTAGCGGGACATGACAACGACAAGATGCGTCTCCGTCTCCTCTGCGGTCTGCGGCCTGTGCCTCACCATTCCTCGTTCGGGACTCGGATTCGAAGCGGCATGATGAATCTCGTCGAAAAGAGCAAAGAAGCCAGGAGCATTGACCGCATGATCGTCCAGAAATCCGGGGTTGCCGGCACTCGGGCCAACTTTTGGGAGACTTGTGCCTGGGAAACTGGAGACCCGCTTCGCCTAGGGAAAAGCTCCTTTTCTTGATGGAGCCGGAGATGGATCACAGATGGATCCCGGGGGAGGGGAAATTTTTCACCTGGTGATCCATTCGATCAGGGCGGTCGATGGGTGGTCGATGATGAGTGGGAGAAAAAATTCTGGACCGGGAAACCAGCCGACAGGTTGTGCATGGGCCATGGTGTGGTGAGAGAAAGGACGGTCATCAGGGGCATGTCGAGGAACTTGGAGGTCACCTCAGACTGTGAGGGGTCTTTTGTCTCTAGCGGCGTCCCTAGCACCGCAACATCACCAGCAGTGAAAAAGAGAAAAATAGAAACAAAATAAAACCCAAAGAGGTTCGCACACTCCACATGGCGCGTCGCTACACCGCCAAGCACCGAACAAAATAAGAGTCATGTCGGTGATATTTCAGAGAAACCGAGCGAATTTCAGGAACAACTCCAAGACACCCATCACTTACATCAGGGGTCGACGCTCGATGGGGAAACAAAACCACACAATTTCTCTCGCTTGTTCCGCCATTTGTACGTGGTGAGATGGTGTACGTACATACAGCTACTTTCAGCTACGGAGTACGGAGTCCGGCATATATCCAACTGACCGCCGCCTTTCAACCTCAGTGCCGTCGGTGGACGGACAGAGGACGGTCTCAGCTCCCCAAAAAAGCCGCCGAGGCATATTGACATTGTGACATCGAGGGGGGCAATGAAGACACTGGCTGACGCGAGACGGCTGACTGGTGGTGCAAACAGCCGAAAGCAAATGGGAAATGAGAAACAACTGAACACTTCACACAAAGAGCGGCGGCAGTTCGACAGAGTGACAACGCCAACGTTGAGACGACAAATCATCATGGTCGCATCGGCCATGCTTCAGGTCGTTAGAGATCACAGCGGGAAGACTGGATCGACGTCCGCCTTTTTGCCAAGCCAACCAAGCAGGGCGGCAGCTGCCAGGCGGAATGCTGCGGTCTTGTGTCGCACACCACTGGCAAAGAAAAAGAAAAGATTTTGGCCCAGGGCAGAAGTCCAGAAATTTGGTCGCAGTGCTTCGTCACCGTCCCTTGCAGGACGCATGGACCAGATACAAGTATCTCAGAGGTATTTTTTCCGGGCGTCTTGCATACAAAGAGTACCCAACACCAATTCCCAAATTATGGGGTAATGATCTCGTAACAAAAAGTGCTGGTGCGCCTCGTGACTGCCAGACAGGGCCCGCTCTGGGAGTTTCTATGTGCTAAAAAGAAAGCTTGAATGGACCACTGTCGACCGTTCGTGGGCCGGCGTGGACTGCCTCTCGCTGCCATTGACTGCCCTGTCGTGACTGCCATGGCCTTGTCTGCTGCAGCAAATTTTCAGCCCAAGCCGCCGTTTAGAGGTCGAGAAGCACCTGATGCACCTGACGCCATGGAGACGGGATCCATTCCATCTGCAGTTGCTGATTGTTGTCATTGTCGTCAACAGGAAACCTCCTTCCGACAACGACGGACTGTACCACACACACACACACACACCATCGAGGCCACCACTTTCACCATCTCCTGTACTGTAACGTACTGCCGAGACACTCGCACAATGGATCATGGCACAGCAGCAACCACAGATTTTGGCATCTCCGCTTTCTCCATCCCGGTTGCGCAAAGTCACAAAGTCACGATGCTTTTCAGAGACAGAGAGAGGCCAGTCGCTCTGTTGCGCAAGTCCACGTTGGCTCCTCTGCTGCTCCAGTTGCGGTCCATTGTCCCCATTCGCCTTGGGTCTTGAAAATTTCGCAATCCGTTCGAGCCCAGTGTGTCCCTGTATTTGTGTCGGTATAAAAACAGGTACAAAGTACTTGCAAGTAGCGGTTAGGTAGCCGAGAAGCGAGGGAAGGTGCGCCGTGACAAAGTCTGGACAGAGAGGAGTCATGTGGTTGCCCACTTCGCTTTGCTCATTCTGGGTCCATCACTGGGCAAGCACTGGGCAAGCACTGGGCAAGCACTGGGCAGCGCTAGGTGTTCCATGGTGTCCCAGCAACGTCCCAGGGAGTGTCACTGTCCCCAGAATTACGGTACCGTCAGAGCACCACACCAGTTGGGTCCAGTTGGATCCCGCCGGCTGCATCCATGAATCAACTAACGAAGCTGCAATAAGACCTTTTTCTTGGCCAGTCTTCCTTGGCCATGCCATCCCCTTCTTCAAAACCCACGAAGCAATGACCCCTCGAGTGACCCCTCTATACCCTCATCTATTAAAAGACCGAATCCCTCAGGATCCGCACCTCTTGTCTCCCGTCTTCCCTACACACGGATCCATACCTTCAGTCCCAACTGCTCGTCTCCGACACAGACAAGTCTCAACCACACGAACACATCTACTCAGACATTATACATCCGAATCAGCCAAACATACGACAGCTCTGTCCTTGACGTACAACAACTCGGCATCATCACACCACAAGCCAAGAACTGCTGGTAGAGAGTCTCCACAGTTTTCTCACAACCACCTCAAACCAAACAACACCACACATCACATCCAGACACAACCGTCACAATGGAAAGGACAGCATCATACACCATCACCGAGCCCCACCCCACGGTGGTGCAAAATACATACACCAAGGCTGGCCGCGGCGGCGCCGGTAATTTCTTCAAGGCTCCCAAGACCACTCCTTCGTCCGGCGTTCCCACCAAGGTCACACCATCAGCACAACCCAGCGCTCCCGGCCGTTTCTACTCGGGCCGCGGCGGCGCCGGCAACGCCCACACCTACACCTCGCGCCCTACCCTTTCTTTCGACGAGGAGTACCAGAGGGCCGAGGTCCGCGAGAAGGCTGCCACCATGGGCTATGTCGGGCGAGGCGGTGCCGGCAACATCTTCAGCACCGTCAGTGACAAGATCAGCATCCGCTCTGAGGGCAGCTCGAGGAGCAGGAATCGTCGCGACTCCATCAGCACCACGGACAGCCACCGCTCTGGCTTCTGGAGGACGTTGAGCAATCTTGCTCACAAGGGTTAGGAGACCCGTTCGATCAAAAGAAGCAGGAGGACTCTTTACGAGTGGCGCCTGTCACTGGCAGAGTATGGAGAGAGCAGGAGCAGGGAGGAAGAAGCAGTCGAAGGGGATCGTGGGGTTAAGGATGATGATGCCAGCGATGAGAAGGACAGTCACCGAACTGCAACCCAGCGTGCTGGTCTTCGCAGATATCACTCCGAACCCGCTCTTCGACCGAAGTACTTGTCAACACCTGTGGCAAGCATTCGACGCAACCTATCCCTTGTACCACCATCCTAATACAACCTCCTCACCCTCTCCATCCTCCTCCTACTTCATACTCTTCACTTCTTCACACATACACACCACTCCATCATTCAACCTATGGACGTCTTTTTTCTACAAACGTTTTATTCTTTCAACAACATCAGCACGGCGTTACGGGCGGCTTCTGCGATTGTGCATGTCACATCCGAGCCATTTGGTTTTTCAACCATGAAGGGAATCTTACGATGAATCGGGAATTTTGGGATCAAAAGTTTTAGCAGCGAGAGTTCACAAAAGAACTGAGCAAAAAAGTTTTCTTATTTTATTAGCAATCATGTAATGGGGGGGATCTCAGCAAAACAAACGGCGAGAAAGAGAGATATCTCAGACCAACAACTCCTCTTCAAAGAGTTGTTTTCCTTTCACAACACACTACCACGGCGTGTCGTTGGATCATGGCCAATTCACTCGTTTCTGATTGGTTGGAGCAAAAGGGGTGCTCGTGGATTGTTTTGGTGGCTGCCAAGAAAAATCAGGGGTTCATCTCTTGGTTCTTTCTGCAGCGCTGACGCTCCCCGCAAAACTCCTCAGCTCCTCACGCACCGATCCCAACGACACAAGGGAAAGGCACAAAATCGGCGTTTGTTTATTTTTGCTGGCACGAGACATCAGTTTTTCGATGCGATTGTTCTGCTTTTGACATTGATTTGAAAGCGAATATCAAGATACCCCATGGCGAGAGAGAGAGAGCGCGATCATGTACCGGATGGATTTGTTTTTCAGTTACCGACACCTTTTTTTTTCTTTTTTTTCTTTTTTTGGCAGGAATTGTGGTGGACGATCAAATCAAAATCGAACATTTTCTGACTGCCATCTACTTTTCACTGCTTCCTACAACCTGCAAATGTGACACTGGACTGGATGAACGAATCGAACTGAAACATTTTTGAACTCAAATCCGGCAGATGACCGCATAGCAAGCCGCCGAAACAGCTTCACGGGAGCGCAGGAGTTTCAAAACCGGGCTCGGCGCGTGCGCACGGAAGACCAACAACCCAACCCCCAAAACCCGGAGGTGGCCGGTGCGGCCTTTCACACAAATTCCTGGAGCTTCTATCCAGGGCGCCGAAACCCTCCTTTTGCTCCTCTTTTCCGGGGCACAACAGGGCACATACGAATTGCCGAATAGCTCGATTCGCGAATTCCAAGTTCCAAGGATGACATCGACCAAGCTCAAGCCCCGTCGCAAAAACTGGAGGTCGGTGTTCGGACTGAGCGGAACCTCCGTAGTCCCTGCCCCCGGTGCCCCGGTCTTCCGGCGGCATTCGGCAAGCTGGAGACGCCATGGGGGACCTGACCTTGGAGGTACAACCCGTATGTACAATGTCCACGACAGTTCGGCAAGCAAAAAAAGAAGCTTGAATTTCGACTTTCACGATGCCACTTGTAGTGTACCAGATGGATTTGGAGAAACACACACAACACAAAGACAAAACACCGAACACGAACAACTCAGGTCTCGATACCCTACAACGCAGCTAGGTATTGCACTGGGCTTCACCTTGACTTGACTTTTCGACCATGCTGGCCATGTCACCGCACCGAAAAGCCCTTCAACCGGACGGAAATCAAAAATCTAACAAGCGCCCGCCGGCTAGCTAGTTGAAGTGGAAGCTGTAGCCCACATTCCCACATTCCCATATTTCCCACTGAAATCCGGGCTTCGAGGCCCTAACAATCGCCCCAGCATCGACCATCTAGCTCACAAACCAACCTGTCCTTAGAGGTACCAAAACCCACCGTTTTGCTTCAATAGTTCGCTACTAGCAGTTCCAGCGCACTGGATACTGTCAAAACTCCAATCCACCGAGTAGTCCACCATTCACACTCACACGATTCACCGCCGGAGGTATACCCTATATTTACTCTAGGTTGGTGGGTTGAAGGGTGAAAACACGACGAACACCGCGGTCTTTTTGCGGAACTCAAGGGCAGACAGAAGCGGGCGAGGAAGGCTTCCAGAACCTAATGAGCCAGGCCCCTTGCCAGTGACTAGGCTATTGTTGCTGGACTTGCTGGACCGTCGGGAATAGCGACGAGCTAGGTACGACGAGCTATGATCGTGAAACAGATCCTAGCTCACCTCACTCAGGTAGCCAGCAGCAGCATCAGCGGTAGGTTGGCGAACCTCATCCGACTCCCCGGCACCGAACTTGACTTCAACATGGGATAAAGAATAACCGGAAACCAACCACCATTTCTATGTACCATGTCAAACGCTCCGAGGAGATCCACCAACCTGACGTCCGTTTGTTAACCAAAAGGCATTTCGACGACCTCAATTGTTGTCGTGTAACTTGCCTCACTCTACTCCCTAGCGAGTGGCGGTCCGTCAGGTCTCACGATATGAAGCTATGAAGACATGAAGACTTTGAGACTTATGTTGCCTTCTACCATATGTCTCTAGGTCATCTCATGTCTCACGAGTGGCAGTCTAGTTCTAGGCAATGCTCGGCTCGTTGCGGTTGTCGCAGTTGTCGCCATCGTTGCCATCGTCGCCATCGATTGCGATACGCACACCACTTGCATACACGTGATGAGTATCGAGCCCAGCATATACACTATTAGGAGATATTGCGCGATGTCCGGGATGGACGATACCTCCTCTACTTGAACTTATGTAAACGTAGGTAGAGGAAGATCTGGAAGAAGAAGGAGGTCTGATAGGTACTGATGTCCGTAATGATGATGGCGAGGTACTTATGCTGTCTCTGATCCTATATTCTCTGCGAAGTACACACGACTCGGAACGTCTTGACTGGACATTGATTGATTGCTCTTTCCGACTTTCGACTTTTACTTTTTTTAATTCCCCATCTCCAGTTTTTTCGGAATTGTGGCCGAGGTATTGATCATCTTCTGTAGTTGTTGATGGGCTTCCATGATAGTCAGAAGTATATATCTACGACAACTCGAATCATCAAGTCCCAATCCACCACCCAACCTCATGACGATGTCAAGTTGTCAACGTCCATCAGGGCGGCAGGGACAGGAAGATGATACAAACGTGCATACAGAACCCTAACCCTGACCACACATCCCTTTCCCTTCCCTTCCATTCCATGGAAACTTCCTCTCCAAGTTCTCAACTTCTTCCATGATCAACGTCAACTCTCTCCCGATCTCCCGTGTCTCCAGTGTCTCCAGTGTCTCCATATCCCCAACCCACCTGGGCAACTGCTGGGCAACTGCTGGGCACTTTTGCGAGCTTTTGATCCAACGCCCTGCCATGGCCCTGCCATGGCCCTGCCAAACGTTCCCAGCGCTCCTTGCAAATCGCTCGTCACCGCTTGTGTCGCTCCATGCGGATGGAGAACGAGTTGGAAGGGCCCGTGTGTGCGATCGTTCGTTTGGTGCGATGGAGCTCGTCGCTTCGCTTTCGACGTTTTCTTTGGACCTTTGGTCTTTCACTGGCCGATTCGCAGACCCTGTAAAACGATGTTTTGACGCTCATGACACTCATGACACTGTGAGTGTGAGTCTGTGACGGCCACACGGCCAGTACGGCGTATGATCGACCAGGACAGGAGGTTGGCCCCCACCCATAACTTGTCCACATTCCGCAATGGCCATAGAGGTTGTCCACCGGTTGTCCACAACGAGAGATGGAGCGCACTGAGTACGCGGAGGAAGTATTTAGGACGTTGACTTTTTAAAAAGTCACCAGCTGCCTACAGTTGCTCGCTGGTGGATATGATATGTTTGGTGTACTTTTGTAGACTTTTGTAGTTACCAAGGTAACCGTCAAGGTGCTCACTGCTCACTGCTCACTGCTCACTCCTCAGAACGTCTCATAACGTCTCCATGCCTACCCCTTGTTTACCTGCTCTCCGGCCTCCTTACTAGCCCCCCTTTTCAGCCTCATACTGAACTATGACATCTGATACTCCATCCTCCGTCCGAAGACTGATTCCGATACATATGATTACCGGTTGGGTATACCACAGAAGAAAGCGATAAATGGGAGGTAGGTATGATGATGTACGATAAAATTTTGGATTGTATTAGACAACCGGTGCCCTTGCTGTCCGGCTCGCTCGCTCGCTAGCTTCCTCCTTCCCTCGTCCTCGTCTCATTGTCGTCGTCGTCGTCATCATCATCATGTAAACTTCGTATGAATGATATCCGGATTCTCATGCCAGTCGTCAATGCTAACCCACATCTGTTCATCGTCACACATTGGTTAGCACGCATCCTATTACCCCTTCCAAATTCCCTTCTCGTTGATGCCCAAATAGGGGCAAAAAAGACATACCTTTCTAAACGTGCTCAAACCCGCCAAAATACTGCCGCCGATCCAGGTCGAGTACTTCCTCTCCGGCGGCGCAAAGATCTTTATCCGCATGTCCTTGACCGCGAGCTTCTGCACCTCGGTGAGCAGACGGTCGCCGAAGCCCTTTGTGAGCGTGCTGCCTCCCGAAAGCACAATGTTGGAGTATAGGTCCCTGCGCAGGTCCAGGTCCGTCCGGTTGATCGAGTCGACCACTATCTGGTGCACGCCGGGGTACTCGAGGCCGATGATCTCCGGGTCGAAGAGGATTTCCGGGGCGCGGAAGCGTTCTGCTCCTATCTTTTGTGGGTATTAGTTTCTGTTTTGTCTGTCTCTAATTCTCTTGCCCCAATACCGCCCGGTCTGGTAGACCAGGGAGGGGGGGCAAGAAGAGAGTAAGAGAGGTAAAACAACATACCTTCAACTTATTCCCATCCGGCAAGACGTACTCGGCAATCTTGGCCGGATCCATCTTCGCCGCCGCCCACTCCTTCTCCTCCTTGCGCGGATCATGCGCCACGTACGTGACGCTTTCTTTAATCAGCCTGACCACCTCCTTCTCGGCGCTCGTATGGAAGACATATCCGCTCTTGCGCAGCAGCGTCTGCAGATACTCGGTCACGTCTCGTCCCGCCACGTCGATGCGCCGGATGCTGTTGGGCACGGTGAAGCCCTGGTAGACAGGCACGGCGTGCGATACGCCGTCGCCGGAATCCAAAACTACGCCTGTTGTTCGCCCGGAGGCGTACAAAGACAGGACGGCTTGGATGGAGGTGTAGAGCGCGGGCACGTTGAAGGTCTCGAAGAGGATCTGGGCGGCTGTGTCGCGGTTTGCGCGCGGGTTGAGGGGTGGTTCGGTTAGGAGGACTGGATGCTAGCAGTTGGACAGGTTATTAGCTATCATCTCCCCCATGTTCACCTGCGAAGCCAGACGGGAAAAAACAAACCTCTTCACTAAGCGTCTTCAACCCCTCATCATACACATACGCCCAAATCTTCTCCATGTCGTCCCAGTCCGTCACGATGCCGTGCTCCAGCGGATACCGGATCTTGAGCAAGCCGCGCAGCTCCGTGGCCGCCTTTTGGCCGATAAACACCTCGCCCTCTAATGCGCCGGCCAAAACCCGCAGGTGCTTTGGCCTCCCTACGAACGAGGGGAAGTGGCATTTTGGTACGTCGTCTCCAGCGAAGCCGGCGCGGATGGTGCCCGAGCCATTGTCGAGCACAATGGGCGCGTTGTGCAACGAGTCTGTCATTGTTGGTTTTTGTTTTGTTGTATGTGAAGAGGGTAGGTAGGGTTATCGTATCGTGGACATGTAAAGGTTGATTTGTTAAAGGCGAGGTTTCTCTAGCTGTCTGTCGTCCGCTATCTATCCGCCGCTGCCACCTAACCGTCCCAGCGGTGGTGATGATGCTATCGTAGAATCGCGGAAGGCGGGGTGAAGACCAGACCAGGCTTTCGACAAGGGTGTTCGCGGGGGAGTGGCTTTGGTGGATAGGGCGTGAGTAGCTCGAAGGTCGCCTGTTGTTGATCAAGATCAAAGACCCGGTGTAAACAAAGGAGGAGGGGATTGAATGTATCGGTCGTTTACAAATCGTATATCGTCAACAATCAAGATGTCATAAAGGCATTGCCAGCCGGGGAAGTCGTGAGTGGGCGTTGTTGAGGTTGTCTGCCAGCAGCTGTGTTCCTGTTTGGTGGGGACGGACGTGGAAATGGAGGGTCCAGGGTCCGGTTGACGGGTTGGGGACTTGGGGTCTCTGGGAGGGAATGTCTTCAAGATCGGATAGCCGCAGAAGTCAGTTCAGTCGTCCGGTCGCAGAGATGGAAGGATGTTTTCTCTGGTAACACACGACGCGACATTCAGACGGACCGGCCTCGATTCGTTCGAAAAGGGCGTTTCTGCTGCAGGGACGTGCTGGTTCGAATTGGGCTGTCGGTCAGAGAGCTTGATTGCATCCAGCCAATCAGCGCCAATGAAGATTTGTGTGCACGAACCATTTTTGACAGTGGACCTAAAGCTCCCCCTTGTCTTGCCCAACATGCAGATCACTTCAGCGATATCGCGGGGCAGGTTCTGTGACTTCGCAACGCCAATTATTGATGTTCACGTTATAGAACGATTTGTTCCTGACTTCGATGGAGATGGTATTAATGAATCCCAATGGAGCCTTCGATCACTCAAGAACAACCTGTCGGGGCTTCAAACCATTCAATAGGTATCTTTGACTAAAAGAGCAAAGTAAAACAAAAGCTCAAAATGACCCCAAATCATCTCCTCCTGTCTCTCAACTCCTGCCTTGCTGTCTGTCTTGTCTGTCTTTCGTGATTCTATGCACTCGCTCTCCCCAATCATCGCCAAACATCTTTTGTTCTTTCAAATCCGACATATCCACGTTAGAAGTCAACTGCCCGCAGATTCAAGAAGAGACAAAAAAGAAGACCTGTTCATAACGCATTTCCAGAAGAACAAAACAACCAACACCAACAAACCCCTCCTGACAGAGGCATCACTTAAACACCCCTAAACATCCTCACAACCAAAAACCAACAAGCCCCAATAAACTTAAACCCGCTCAGCACCGCCACCGACCAAAGCACGACACTCATATAGATCGTCGCCCGCTTACTCGTCCTCTCCTCATCCGACCCTTCCTCTGCATCGATCCTCTCCAGGCCCGCCGTGCTCAGCACCACCGCGCACAGCGCAAAGTTGGTGATCATCCAGACCAGCACGACCATCGATCTGACACCGCGATAATAATCCATCTGCTTCTCCTCCAGCTGGGCCGGCGTGGGGTCCGACACGGGCTTGATGAATTTCCTTGAGAAAACCTGGAGTTCGCGCTCGTACGAGGCGTTGAGATCGCCTTCATCGGGAAGATCGGTCTTACCCTGACCGTCCTTGGTGTTGACGGAGGGGAGCTTGTCGGGCTTGTCGTCACCTTTGGTACCCCACGAGATGTCGTGGGTGTTGCAGAAGGCGTAGACGTTGAGGACGTTGGTGTAGGTTGGCGAGAGGAGCATGTACTGCACCAAGGAGGTGAGCATGTGCCAGGGGTCGAACATGAGGAGGGAGGCGATCAGCCAGATGCCGTAGGTGGAGACGACGGAGACGATCAGGGTGTAGAAGAGCTCGTTGCGGAAGAGGTCGGTAAAAAGAGAGGCCTTTGTCGATGTCTGTCTGGATGGCGACGACGGCGATGTAGATGGCAGCGAACATAAGGTAGCTGTGAGACAGTTAGTAAGGGGTCGAAGTGAAATAGAAGGGGAACGGGGGAAACGTACATAAAGATAATCGCCCAGAAAACCACCATGCCCATGTACAACCTTGGAGAACCAGCCGGCCGATTGCCCATGGACAAGACGAAGCACGTTATCAGAGTCACACCGTACGCCCACGCAAACACGACGCCCAAGATCTCGCCGACATTTCCCAGCAGCTTTGGATCACCCAGTCCCGTCGTCAGGATCTTAAACACGAGGAAGAAGTTACCAATAGCAAACCAGGCAAAGATCATGTTGACCGTCTGGAACACGAACTCGACAAAGAAGGCAAGCTTTCGCAGGAAAGAGTGGTCGGACCGGAAGAACTGGTGGAAGTGGACAATAGCATAAATAGCCGCGAAGAAGGAACCGTTCAGCCAACGACGACGTTGCAGAATCAGCTCCGTCAGGTCGGCGGGCACATCGGTCTCGCCCGTGGCCGACTTGACGTACTGCAGGATCCAGTGGCAGTTGCGCTTGGTGACGAGCTCGAAACAGAGGATACGATCTTCGGCGAGGTACATGTTGGCCGTGAAGATGCCGGCGTCGCCGCCGTGCAGCTTCTCACCGGCAAAGTACTTCTCCAACGGGCCCTGGCCGTTCTTGTCGTTTTGCAAAGCCACATAGCGGTACGCCGAGAAGGCACCGGGCAAGACGGAAATGAAGCCAAAGGCGGACTCGAGAGGCTTGTCGAGGATGTTACTCATCTTGTACTCAAAGTTCTGAGTGGCGATGAGCGGGTTGATGAGGTTCTTGCCGCCCGTGCCCAACATGGCCTTGATTTCACCGCAGGCGCCGGCGCACATGGGTTCGAGATCGAAGGCCTTCCACAGATGGTAAATGGAGCTACCGCCGGGCTTGGTACCAGCGTCGATAAGCACGCAGATATTGGGATCCAAAACGCGCCCAAAGGCCTGGAAGAACCAACGATGCGAGTTGATCTTCTTTTGGTTCTTTTCCTTGAGGCAGAACAGCATCTGAACAGGCTGCTGCTTGGGGATAAGCTGAACCACGTCGTTCTTGATGGCCATGCCGACCTGAGTTGTGTACTCGTAAATATGCGCCGTGACATCCTTTCCGTTAACCTGTTGCTTGGCAATACCCTCCTGATAGACACCCATACCGGCCAATAATGCCCTCGTTCTCGGGTTAATCTTGGCACGACCGTCGCTGACGACACACACCACGATCTTCTTCCAGGCGTCCTTGCCCCAGGTCTTGCTTTCCGGCCGCTTGCACATGTACTCGACGTTCTTGAACACACCGATCATGGTGCGCGCAAACAGAATCTCGTCCTCGTTGTACATGGTTACGACAATGAAGAGCTCCGTGTGCCTAGGCTTGCTGAAGAGCTTCTGGCGCAGAGTAAAGTTCTCTTCGTAGAATTCCGAAGGGTCGCAGGTGGCAGCCGAGTATCTCATATGGGTGAACTCGTCACGCTCGCCGTGAGGTAGCTGGTTCAGCAGCTTTGGAGGGATGGGACAATCCAACACCAAGTTACCGCGGTACAGAAGCACCTGCTTCACTGTCTTCCACCTCTTGATGGGCGCATTATTCGTTGGCGGTGCGGGTTCGTCGTGGTAAGGATCGCTCTGGCCGACTTGCGAATCGGTATGCATCAACATGGGCCGTTGGTCGTCGTGCGCCTGGTATCCGGCCACTGGGGGCGTTGGAGCCGCGGCATATGGATCATGGCCAACTTGGGGCTCGTAGGGCTGGTTGAAGTAGGCATCGTGGTGCGCTTCCGGGTTCACGGCGTATTCGGGGGTATAGTGCTGGCCTGGGGCATGGTAGCCGCCCATTCCCTCAACCGGTTGCTGCTCAGCGCATTAGTATCTAGTTCCCGCATAGACATAGCTTGCACATTCCCAGCAATACTCACAGGGGTGTGAATGTTCAGCGCATCTCCAGGACTGTATCTCCCAGGACCGGCCGGGATATCGAAACCTTGCTGGTGGTGGTACGGGTTGTCCTCCAACTGGTAGCCGGGCTGTATGGGGTGAGCCGGCGAGCCTGTCCTTTGCATTCGGGGATCCATTGGGTGACTTTCGTAGAAGTCGTCGTCTGTAGAATTGAAGAGGAAGTGTTAGAGGTTGAGGTCTCAAGCTATGATCGACTGTCTGGCTCGGAGGCAATCATGTGCGCGCCCGGACGCTCGCGCGGTGGCTATGTGGAAGCAAGGCAAGGCAAGGCACGATGCGATTCGTTGCGCAAGGGCCTTGCAGTATGTATGTAGGAGCAAAGACTTGGAGATGGGCTGTGTAGAGGATCACCACTTCTTGCGCCAGGCAAGTAACAAGTCTCTTTTCTCTTGACAACTAGCTTTGAGGTTGACCCGAGAGTAAAGAGAGCCAGGCTGGGATCCGGTCTCGAGGTAGGTAGGCCTCCAAGACTCTACCCAGAACCCATGAAGCTGCCAAGGGAGCAAGGGTAAGGACCCTGAGGAAGGAATGCGGTTTGGGATATTGGAAGGGTTCAAAGGAAGTGGGTGCTAATGTAGTGACAGTCCCACTTGGGGTCTTGGTGTTTGTTTGATATTAAGGTATATCCAGTGAAGAACAGAGTAGTAGACTTGCCTAGTCGATTGTACGACATGGTGCCGGGATTTGGAGGGTGTGTTAAACGGGTTACGGTTTCTGGTTATCTACTCGGTGATCCTCCGGGGAAGTTGGAGGGAGAGATGGATGTTGAGGAAGTGTTGTTGGTCACTCGTTCGAAGGTTTGGCGCGGGGAGTTCGTCACAAGTCTCAGTCGCTTGTTATGTTTGGAATGCGCCGTGGCCGTCAAGGCCCTTCTCCCAACCACGTTGTTGGTATCCCGTCTTTGTTGGAGCTTGCTCTCAGCTCTCTCCCTTGGGCAGTGTGTTATGCTGTCCGTCTTGCTTGTTTGTTCTTTCTTTTATTCGGCGGTTGACCGTTCGGTTCCCTGCAGTTGTCGAGACAAGCTGGTGTCCGCGCGGCGTGGATAGGATGAATTTGATATGGTCGACAGGGAAGGACGGGGCAATACGTCTGGAGGACCTGGACTGGGTGTTCGGGGTATCGAGGGGTAAAGTTCGGCTTGTGTCTCGAAGTTGGAGAGTGGTAGTCCCAATGTCTCGTTGCCCAATGCCAATGCCAATGCCGGGTCTCTTTCCTCTTACTGGGGTCCCTGTTCTTGTTCGCACCGCGAAAGAAGACACGGGAAATCCAGAGGAGTTAAAAAAAAAAAAGAGGACGGGACAGGACGAAAAAGAGACAACGGGGTCGATATTGCGATTCGGTTCGGCGACAGGTTGGACACCAAGACAGAAGAGAAAGAAAAAAAAACAGAGGAAGATCTCGAGTTTCACGCTGATGAATGTGGTGCCAGGACCGCGACGGCGCGAATGGCAGATGATCCCGTCCGGGGGTCTAACTGGGGGGGCTGGTCGCAGTGGATGCCCTTTTCCTCGAAATCAACATGGGCCGCACGGGCCACAGGGGCCATGTCGAGAGTCAAGACCAATCAACGGTCCATTCGCAACCTTTTCGCAACCGCCAAAACATCCAAACACTCGCTCAATATGGTTGTCGTGGGTTGTTTCAGCGCCCCAGCAAGACAGACGTAGCCCCAGGGGCAGTCAAGTCGCAGCAAGACACTGAACCAACGAAGCCCGAGCCACGGAAAGAATGAAAGAAGGAAGAGCCGTGTGACGTCGCTCCACTGACTGTTTTCCCCAAGGCACAGCTGGTTCACTAGGACAAGTTTAAGCCTCTTAAGGGGCAGTCCCAACTCCCAAGGAGGGGTTAAAGCCTAGTCAATTATACCAGGATTTCTGGTCTATCTTTCCTTAATTTCCATGTTTTCCTTTTCCCATGTCCAACATGTCGAAGCTTGATTCTTGGAAATGTTTATTACTTATTGTCAACGAATGAATACAAATGTTCACTCATGTCTTGAGGGGCAAACGCGCAATCAACGTTTTGCTGTTTGTTCTGTGCCTTTTACTTGAACCAGAAACTCAGCTCATACAACGAGGCGCTGTCAGGATCATCCGCAGCAGCCCCAGGAACAACAACCTAACCGCAGCAAGCAAGCAACACGACAAGCAGCTTCCCGCTTCCGTTGTCTAGACTCTCGACCCGTTCGGCTCGCTCCCCTCGCTCGGTGGTCCACTTGGGAACAACATAAAATTGCCATTTCACTTGCCATTCCACAAGCGAACATCTTCCCCTTGGGGATTCATCTCGTTCGAACGGCCTCACTCCGGATCGGCACTTTTAGAGTCTTTGAAGTACTCTCCCCCATCCGTGCTTTTTTTGTGTCTTCCGAGAGATCAGCAGTGGGAAAGGTTCAAGAAAGAGACATGTGCGGGATGGAGGCGAGGGGGGAAGCCGAGGTTTTAACTCAGTCTAGAGGTAAGGTAGTGTAGAGATATTTCACAAGTCCTTGATATCAGATGTGCAGTGGTACTTCAATATCAATGGAAACTGAACCACAAAGTTGCTGTAATGCACCACCCCTTTCTCATTTACTCCAAAACCTCCACAAAATCCTTCCAGTCCCTTTCCAAAAATGTACCTACCGAGCTACCAGCCAGGGGCAAAGCAAATGTTTGATATCACACCGTACCTTACCCTGATACATATCTCCGTTGTGTGGAACCAATTCATTTGGACAAGACCTGCTGGGGACAAGCTTCTGGTCCCTAACTTATCACGCGCGGCCAACGGCAACAACACCAAACTTGGCATCGCGCGTTGGTCGCCTCCTTTGGCAATCCGCATTTTTGCTTGGGCTTGCTAGGCAGCTGGGATCTTGGCGTTTTTGGATAAGCGCCAACATACCGTTAAGCACTTTAGCGCGAAGTGAGGTGAAATACCTTAACTCTTCATTTTCGTAGACTTCAGAATAAAATGGGTCAACGAAATGAAGATCAATGACAAGAAGAGGGACTCTAACGAATGCGAACTTCGCTCGGATGATACTTGCCGACTTGAAATACGCACAGCTAGCACAGCCTCTTCAGCGGCGATATAAGTACGTCCTACATAGAAAGACATTTACGTACCAGCGTACCTATGAATGTCATCGCCCCATTTAGCTAATCTAGCTGACGACGACTTGTCCTGATCATCATCATGAACACGTTTACCCTACACTATAGCCTCTAGAGTCTCGGAAGGTTTGAAAAACCTCGAAACAAGTTATTTTTGGCATGCGCGCTCATCAGCTGCATGAGCATCTCAGCTTTTGTGCCACATGTGAACCCGACGCCATGTCGGGTCATGTTGAAGGTTAGATGCAAGAGATGCATATAAGGTGGAAGTGGGTGTGAACAGAAAACCAATTTCCAACTAAGCAAGTTCACCACCTTTGATATCTTGACAAGTGAAGTGGCAAAAGACTGGCTCAAATGCCAAGAAAAGAAACACCAAGATGAACATCTTGACACGAATGTACACAAACTCCCGGTGATACCATGTTTAAACAGCGCTCCCATCTTGACCAAAGTAGAATTATTATAAGTCTGATATATACCAAACCCTCATCCCCTCATCCCCTTACCCTCTCCTTCTCCTTCCCCCAGAAGAGAACCTACGAAATCTCCTTACCCAGTCTCTCCAACTCCTCCGTGATAAAGCTGCCCGCATTAAGCAGTTCCGTACCGCCGTAAATAACCCTCCTCTTCGCGCGATCCCCCGTCGTCGTCCTCGCCGCCCACTCCTGCAAATTGCTATACTCGGCCGTGCTCGCACCACCAACCATAAACACAATCGCCTCGGAGAATCCCTGTCTTCTCTGGCCAAAGCTGGCTGTCTGACCCGGACCACTGGACCCTGGCAAGCCACCGGGCCCGCCCAGGGATGACCCGCCCGCTTGGGCCCGCATGGCGGACGGCTGGGGCATGGTGCCGCGCGCGTTGGCGCTGCGCGGGTCGAAGTAGAGGTAGTGCTCCGTCTTGGCGATGGCAGAGGAGCTGGCGGCCGAGGGGTCCATGAGGGACTCGGTGATCTTAGTTACCGTGAGGTCGCGGTCCTCGGGCAAAAAGTTCTTGATGCCGCCGAGGAGGGAGGCGACATTGTTGGAAAGGGCGCCGGTGGGTACGCCGGTCTCCTTGAGACGGTCGGTGAGACGGCTGGAGATGGCGGAAAAGCGGTTGAAGAGGTCCGAAGAGCCGGATTGTTGCTGGTTCGAGGTTGACGGGTTGTTGACCGTGGTAAGTTGTGTCATCTTTGTCGTGGCGCGGACCCTGTGTGATTTCATTAGTATGGACTGGCTGGCAAGTTGGAAAAGAGTGACACTTACTGCTTAATGTAGGACAGGCATGTCGTGTCGCAGCCCTTGGCTGCGAGCGCCTCCTCGAATTGCGTCCACTCCTGGCGAGAGACATCCTGTTCCGTGCTGAGGTACCAAATCACGAAGAGACGAAGGTAGTCTTCTGGCTTGCCCTTCTCAGCCGTCTTGATCTGATCCAAAACTTGCGCCTTGGTTTGCTTGAACACGTTCTCCTCCAGCTGGAAGTAGTTATCCAACTGTCGGCTCTGAATTTCGCCAAGGATAGCAGCGAGGATATTCATGTGCATGTCCAAGGTGGCCTTTCTTGCGCGCAGTTCCGGTAGGAGAGTGACTGCCGCTTTTAGGTGCTGAGCGCTTGCGCCCGAGTCTTGTTCGAAATGATCCAAATCTCTTACGCCCGTCTTCTTTGTGAGAGAATCCGCCTCCTCCTTGTATTTCGTAAGTTCAATATCGATGTCCTCGGCAACCTAAGAATCTCGGTTAGTAACCATCATCAGGATGTTTCATCTGTACTTTACCTACCTGAGGGAAAGGCAGACACGAATTCTTGGCCCAGAAGAAATCATCAGCAGCCAGGTCATAGGTCTTCTTGTTGGCGCCCTTGGCCGGGTTATTGGAGTCTACCGGGCTCTCAATTGTGATCCGGTTCGATTCCGACAAGCCAAAGACGTCGGCGCATAGGCTCTGGTAGGTCCACGAGTGGGACAACATGGGAATTAGGTCGATATTACGGTCCATGATAACGAGTAATGGCTTTGGTGTTCCAGTGCTGGAAGCTGCTGCCCTATGTGCCGAAAAGAGGTTGTCTTTGGAGTTGAGAATATGATCGCGAAGCTTCCGGTCCAATTTGGTCGCAACCATCTCAGCAGCAGCACCTCTTGGGCAGCGGATGATGGGAATGACACCTAGTGTCACCACCACACTAAATAGGCCACTGACGATCCTATCAATGACCCTATCCAGCTCCTCATCTTGTGTCTTTGCGCTATTCAATGCCCAGTACGTGTGCTCCTTCTGCATGCCCAAACTGAACAAATCCGGCTCGGGAACGATGAAATTGAGATACTGGTCGAATATTTGGGCAATCTTCTCCGAAGTGCCGGCAGCGGCAGTTTGCGCTGCAAAGTCCTCCAACAGTGGCCGCGGTACCGAGGAGAGGAAGTTGATGCTGGCAGAGTTGTAGAGGTTCTTCTGCAGATCATTGGTGATTTGCTGGAGATTCTTGGAGTTCGGTTCGATAAGGTAGATGGCATCGACATCGGGAATCGGTTGCCTGCTGGCGGCAATGGAAACGTGTAGTGTGACGCCCATCGATCGCAGGTCCGAGACCTGGAGTACTGGGCTGATGACATTGCGCCCAAGTTCGTCAAAGACCAAGATCTTCCACGTGGGAATGTCCTTCAGCAAGGGCGCCGAGGCAGATTGGAAGCCACTGGAATCGTCACCGTCGGTCGGTTCGAGGGGTTCGTTGAGGTTCAGGAGCTTCTTGATGGACACTGGAGAGCATGTGTCAGTCCACCGCAAGACTGTCTGAGTCTGGTATTGGGGACATTAGGGACAGGAGGGCAGCTGAACATACGGATCTGCTTGTCGCGCAGAGAGTTCCCTCGTGTTGGCGCCATGTTTGTGTATTAAACTGATTGATATGCCGGTCGGCAGGATGTCCGTGAGAAGGAGGATTCGGGCCTGAGGTGTTGTAGGCTGTTAGTGTCGAGGCAAGGTAGCTCCCGTCTTGTTGTCGCAGTGGTGGGGTTTGTGATCCCTTGTGAAATAATCGCCAGGCTGGCCTCGAGTTGTTGGCCAGATTCGAAGGAAGAGTGCCGTAAGTCTCTGAAAATGAAAGGGCAAGCGTGTCGAAATATTTAACACAAAGTCCAGAATGTCTTTACGTGTTCAACCTGTAGAAAAGAAAAAGAAGCGATCTCCGTTGAAGCTATGTTGTCCTGGTTCGCAAGGTACCTCTACGGTTCTTGGACCAGTGGCCTCTCTCTCAGTGGACTGTTACCCCTTCCCTTCTGCATCCGCTAGCCTTGCAGAAGGTACCTCTACACTACCGCCTCGAGACTGCTTTCCTCCCCAGTACTATGACGAGGATTCCGTGTCGTCCACCGGGCCTGCCGTGTTCGATTGATACCGCAACTAGTTGGCTCCTTCTCTGTCTCTGTTGCGTTTAGTACCTTTAGCTGTGCCGTGGAGGTTGAAACAGTCAGTCTTTTTACCATATCGTACGTCTTCTCGACCAGAAAGATACCACTGCTCCTGCCATAAGCGATTACAACACTGGCACCTGCTGCGATTTGCACTGGCTCATGCCTCCAGCTGGTGAAGACCCACCCAGAACCCAACAAACGGTACTTTGGTACTTGCTAACCCCTTCAATTGCCACGCGCACGGACCACAAAGCTTCTGCTTCACGTGTGCAGACTGCGTGCCTGGACCGTTTTTGGAGCAAGGCCCGTGGTCAGCCAGTGCCAGCAAGCGTTGGCGGCCCGTGAGCGCCAGCGTGCCAGCCAGTCAATGCACTCCCGTCACTGGCAATTCGTTGAGAAGCGCCTGCCCACTGGCGGCACTCACACACTTGCCCAGGCAGTTGCAACCGTCCTTTTATGAACGGCAAGACGCACCTGATTTGCGCGACCGCCGCTCACGTCCAACTTTTTCCTTTCAACTCGTCACCCTGACCTGACATCAGCAGCATCTCTCCTTTCTTCGACGACCAACTTGTCGCCCTGGTCGCCTTGTCGCATCACCAATCGTCGTACTTAATAATCGCGTCCTTTCTCTTCGTACATCTTTCCCCTGTTCTGGCAAAGCTGTAAAGGCGATTTAAACGCGCAGGTTTTCTTGACGTCTCGGGCGTTTTTCTTCTTGCGCGACCGTCATTCGGAACTCGTCTCTATTCCCTAGCATCTGCAGTCGTCCGATCGACCTGCGGCCCTGGCTTTTGAAGAAGATTAATATCGGAACCTGCCTGCTCACCTGAGTTCAAGGTCAGGGACCTCTCCGTTCTTTAACCCGGGATAGAGAGGAAATGCTGTAGCGAACTGCGATAACTTTTTCGCTGTTGTCTTCTGCGCGCGCGTGGAGGAGATCGTTCGTCGTGACGAGTTGCTGCGGACGCATTCAGGCACACGTAACCCAACAAGGAGCACGTGCCCCAAGGCGCCAGAACACCACGACAGAGATCGTGCCGAAACAATCAGGGTATGCATAATCTTCACCTCTTCCCCCATCCTTAACACCTTTGAAAACAAGCACAAGACCGTCGTATTTTTACACACATCGCATGTCCGGCATTTGCCTGTGATTCAAGCGTTCTGGACCTGCAGTCAAATAAGGCTGTGCAAGTTGTCAAGAATTGCGAGTCTCCCAGTGCAGATTTATGGGGTTCGTGTTAACCAAAAAGGCCAACAACCCTCTCGCCAACATCCACCAAAAAACGGTACAAGTAACCTGGGCTACCCACCACAGTACCTTGCGTTTTAATCCTGGCAGATGAAACGAGGAGACAGAGCAGAGAGAGAGAGAGAGCAAAGGGAGAGGCAGACATGTGTGGGGGAGAAATGCAAAACCAAACAACGACTTGGGGAGAGCAACACAAGCACCTGGAAATGGCAATCCAGAGACTGCACAAGTCTTTTTCTTCTGAGAATGCACAGGGCCAGCAAAGACATCCCACATCTTGATTGATATGCTGCGGTCATTTGATGAGCCCTCTCTGGCAATGGCTATCAATGACACCCGGATCTATCAGCCTCGCCCCCTGGTTAATTGTTCCATGCACAACCTGAGATCCAGATTTCACATCTGCTGTGTGGCAGCCAGCCAGCAGCCAGCCCAACAAACACACACACCTGGACACACACACACACACACACACACACAGCCTGGCCTGGGAATTTCTCGGAGAAAGACAAGTGGATGGTGGCTGTTAGTGCAACTGGCAATACGCACTTCGGACAGCGAGTGTTGAGGGACTTCCACAGCGCTGCCAAGGCCTGCGGGTCATGTCACTTCCTTAACAACACTGCTGCAACTCTTTGAGAACGGTGCTACGCTCGCGGCCCCGCACACCTCATCCACGCCCGACAAACCCGACCCCCACCGACTTCAACCACATAAGCTGCCCTGCCGCCTGGGTGATGGAATTCTCACACATTGGACACCTCACCTCCACTCACTTTCAACTGTGTGTCCTCGGCGAAACATGATCTAAGAGGGCGGGCATCACGGCAATCAAACTGTCGACCAAAGCAGTGCATGGCAATACACTTGCAGCAAGCTCAATCAAGTCGCGCCGTGGGACTTTTCGGGCATTGGCCGCGGCTGGCAACCTTGACTTCCCTCTCACCCTGGACGCCCACGGTACCTTACCTCGACCACTGTTTACGCTTCGCCCTGGAATGCCATCACTTTTCGCTGCAGGGGCAACCGGTCTTAAGACACTTCGACTTGCACCACCGCATCACAACACCACCACCATCATATGGAACAGAGCCTTCTGAAGCTCTATCCTATAATTCAACATCACCGTCGACATCAGCTTGTCGCTGGAGCTTCGCATGGTGCTGGTTGGCCTGCGCGTCGCTCTCTCTCTCTCTGTTTCTCTCTCTCTCTCTCTCTCTCTCTCTGAATGGTTGCCATGGCATACGCTCTCTCTCTCTCTCTCTCTCTTCATGTTTGAAATCTTTCTCAGAAGATTTCAGTCAGGACATGTGCGAGCTGGGATTTTCTACCTGGCCATCTCCCACACATTCATTCATGCATCACACTTGGACTGTTGGCATCTTCTCAGAAGTTGGACTTGCCCTTGTACCTGACGCTGACCCTCATCCCCCCTTGCAGAACTTCACACGCTAAGCCGCTTTTCAACTTGGCATCCATTCTGATTGGAGCGCGCAGTTTGTGCCCCACCACTCGACGTTGGAAACACCCCGCTTGTGTAGCAAGGCAGCCACTCATTTAACACAGTTTCCGAACTGTTTGTTAAGGGCACGCCTTAGTTTTGTGCATTGATACACCCTGTATCAACGACAAAGTGAGTTCCGACTGAGAGTGTTTCTGCTCAAAATATCCCACTGGATTGGCTTTATCAGTATTATACAAGTCCGATGTTATGTATGGATCTGGGTCGGATGTAAAACGACTCGCGCTGCATGAGCCCCTTGACTGACCACGTTAATTCTCTAGCCCGTCGCTGCCCCTTTTTTGCTTGTTTGGCTTCTTCCCTTTTGAGCTGAAGTCAGCAATCATCGCCCTTGCTAGTCATGGACGCCAGTCACCCCGATCACGCCGGGCAATGGGACCCCAGCTCCTTTGCGCCAGAAAATCCATGGGAACAACAGTTCGCCTTTGCTCCTGAACATGGGCACGAGAATGCGTACCACAACCCTGGTGCCTTCATCGACCCTCCACAGCAGGCCAATCCTCGACTGGCCGGTCATGACCAGCAACCAAGTACATATGGTCACTACGACTACTATCCTCAGAACGAAGCGTGGACTGGGCCTAGCCCTGCGGCTGCGCCTTATGCTCAGGAGCCTTTAGCACAGGAGCATTATGCACCTCCCCAGCAGCACCCCCAGCATAATCAGCAGCACTCATATGGAAATCATCGCACAATAGATAGCCGGTTCGCTCTTGTTGATCTTCCACAGGAGACTGGGTACCAGAACCACCATGTCCAAATCCCAGAGAGGCAAGAGGTGGTCCAAGATGGCTTTGGCCACGGCGCCGTGCCCCCAAGGCAACAGTCGGCCGATGGCTACCTTCAAAGCCATGTCTCAGAGCAATGGCAGAGGGTGCCAATGGCAAGCTCAGGCTATGCCACAAATGGAGAGTATCAAAATCCCCTGGCCATGTCACAGCCTGTAAACCACCAACAGTCGGTTGCACATCCATCACAGCATCAGCCTCAGCATCAGCCTCAACATCAGCCTCAACATCAGCCGCAGCTTCCCAACCCACAGCACTCGCAGCTTCAGCAACAGCAGCAGCAGATTCAGCGGCAACAACTGCCACCACAACCGCAGTTGCATCAACCGCAACAGCAACACCAACAGCCGCCAAGGCAGACGCCCACACCCACACCCTACCAAACTGGCCATGGCCCGGTCCAGGGAGGGCTTTCGAGCTACCATCATCCCCAGGGCCACCATACTCCCGAGCCTCAACCGACTCAAGCTCACTATATGCAGCCCATCAACGGGCAACAAATCCAGAACCGCGCTTCTGTGGCACAACTTCCCGCCCAGAAAACCACTGCAAGTCCTAGCCCCCTTGCTCATACACCAATTCAGAGTGCCCCGCTACAGCAAAAGCCTGTTCAACCACCGGTGCAGTCAATCCAACCAAAGATTGCTCCCCGTTCTATGATCCAGCCTACAGTGCAGCCAATGGTGCAGCATGCAGTGCAACAAATGGTGCAGACTCCCGCTCACCAGGCTGCTCAGCCATCACAGTCGGCACAACCCACGCCACAACACACGCCGCAACCTCATGCGCAGACCCTGCCACAGGTCCCTCAATACCAGGCACCTCCAAGCCAGGCTAACTTGCCTCAAGCCTACCAGCCTTCGACCTTACAATCCCAGCCGGTTCAGATCCAATCGGTCCAGGCTCAGACCACACAACAGCCTATCCAGTCTCTCCAAACTAATGTGATCTCGGGTGTAAAGCGATCTGGTGATGTGCAGGAGATACAAACCCTCGCTAAGAAACCAAAGGTGCTACAACCAGCCTCCGGTATCGCGAACCCCCAGGCCACCAGCTTGGCGAATAGCAGCAACTCAGCGAACCCTGGTTTCACATCAGATGTAAATGGGCAAGGCGATGGTGGCGAGTTTTCCGGGTTTTTCACGGTAGATGAGGACTTGCTTGATAAGGCACACGAAACCCCAGGTCGCACCGTCCCAGGAGTGCCGCATCTCGTCATCGATGAATCCCCGGTTCAGCTTAAAAAGGGACCACCAACTAAACGTTTTGTGACCATTGTGGCAAAACCGGGCAAAGACCCTCTATTCCCTGGTCTTGATCGTGGATGGACACCAGCTGAGTCTCTCAGCAACCATGCTGAAGCTTACCAAACTGCCAAAGAAGTGCTAGATCGCCAGAGAGCAGATATAAGGCTTGATATCGAGATGAAGCGGGCCAAGACAGAGTTGCCGGCGGACTGGTGGAAAAAATTGTCCAAGGGCGAAATTGGAACAGATGCTAAGCAGCGCGGGTCACCCCCACCCGAGCCTACATTGACAGCTGTGAAAGCAGCTGAGCTGCTTCGGCTTCATCCCTCCCATAAGAGGAACAGGAAAGTCATTGTTCACACCAGTAATGAATTCGGTGCGTTTGTTGCAGAGAAGATTGCTGCACTAAGGGCTGCACCAGCGTTTGAAAAGCTTGTGAAGGATGTGAAAAACAAAGGAAAAGGTTCTGCTACTCTCAAGCCTGCTGCAGTTGAGACCTTGAAGCAGTCTCTGCAACCGTTTAAGACGGAGCTTGAAGCAGCCATTATTGAGGGACTCAAAGTCGGAGACCCAGTAATCCTGCGGATGGTGGGCGAAAGGGGTGTACTGCCCATTCGTCTACTCAACCTCCTCATCCAGCTCTTCAACCTTGGCGAGGCTACCTCATCGTTGGCTAAGGCCGCTCTTCGCCTTTTTGGGTGCTTCACAAGCCTTACGCCAGAGCAACTTGAGGCTTGGAAGTTCCAGACCACGAAAAGCAAGCTTGAGGGACTGGGTGATCCCGAGATTAGCGAGTTGGTTGCGACTATCGTTGCAAATGCCGAAAAGAACGCTGGGAAGGAAAGTCCTGCGGGCAAGTCAAAGAAGGAGTCCAGCGGCGATGCTAAGAAAAGTTCTGCCAAAACAACAGTCTCAACAACCAAGAGAGCTCGTGAGGATGATACCAATGGTGATTCACGCGCGGCCAAGAAGCCTTCCACAGACGGAAAGCCTCGGGTGGCGACCATTTCGAATTCGACCAACAATGGCAAAGCTTCATCTACTGGTTCTAAGACGCCTCCAACTACGGCCAAACCTGCTCCTAAACCTTCGGCGCCAGCACCCGCCGCGGCCACGGCGAAGCCTCGTGCCTCTTATCTGCTCCCGGGCAAGGCTCGCCCAGCAGCAAAGCCAGCCCCGAAGTCTGAGCCTGTAAAGGCCGAACCAGCGAAACCGTTGGTCAAAGCTGAGGCTGCAAAATTATCTGTTCCTACGTCTACTCCCAAATCGATGGCATCCTCAGCCAGCAACTCAGCGAAAACACCGAAGCCGAAGGAAGAGCCACCCTCCAGCTCCAGGTTTGCGGCGCTCTTGGAGGAGATTGCAGCGCCCAAGAAGGTGAAAGCCGACGCATCTCCTCCAGCGGAGTCCGCACCCGATCCAAATGAGACGGAAGAGCAGAGGAAGCGCCGCCTACGGAAGGAAGAACGCCGCAGACTCAACATGAGGGTCGCTTTCAAGAGCGACGACCAGCTATGCCAGATCAAGGAGTACACCTTATTTCCCGAAGAGATGGGCCCCCGCCAAGCTCGCGATATTCGATCAGATAGTAAGGCGGAAGGCATGGCGCTCAGAAAGGGTCATGAGGGTGAGCTTCGCCCCTGGGAGGAGCCGGATTTAGTTGATCTAGACGTTCTTCCGGAGGAAGCGCGAAGAGAAAACTATGTCACCGTGGGCGGCAAAAAGGAGTTCCGCACCGAACAACAATCATTTATGGCCGATCGGGAGGCCACTGAGCTCATGGTCTTTTACACGGACCCATCAGATATTCCGATTACGCCGAAATCGCCGGCTTACGAGCCTTCGCTTGATGACGGCTCCGGTGCTGATCTTCGGCTTCCTATGGGTCTGGAGTATGACGAGCTTCGTCACAAGGCTAGCGATCTGAAGCACTTTGGTGCTCGCCGTGCAATCAATGAGGCCAAGGCTCGGTTGGAGGCTCAGTCTAGCCCGGGTTATGCTGAATTCGCCAAGACAATAAAATCGATCGACTCGATCACCAGCTCATACCCCATATATGCTATGCCTGTACAGCAACCAGCCGTTGTGCAGGTAGCGCCTGTTGCTGCGGCTAAGCCCGAGAGCATCCCGCCCATCATCGTGCCAGTCACACTGGAGCCGCCGGAGGTTCGTGATCAGCGGACCTACGAGCTCATATGTTCTGACAGAGCTCGTCACTACCGTGATCCGGAGCCATATGATCCTGCCAACCCCAAGACAGTACGTCGCCACGATTATCCAGACCCTGTGGTTCAGAAGGCCGCGGATTACGTAGAGGAGATGGTAGAATATGTCAAAAAGACTGTTCCCAAGATCAAGCAACAGCCAGCCCCGGCGGTTCCCGTTGTGCCAGCTCAGGTTCCAGCTCCTGCCCAGGCAGCTCAACCAGCGGCAGCCCCCCGTTGACTACAGCGCACAATGGGCTCAGTATTACGCTCAACATTCTCAGCAAGGACAGCAGCCGGATGCCCATGGCCTTCAGCAACAACAGGCTTGGTATGCTCAACATCAGCAGCAGCAGGCTCAACAGCAGCAGGCACAACAGATTGCCCAGCTCGTTGCTCAACTCCAGGCCAACCCGACCCCCAACAAGCCGCCCACATCCAAGCCCTCATTGCCGCCACTCTGGCCGGTAGTGGCCAACAACAACCCAACCAGCCTGCCGGCCCTCAGACGAGCGACTACGAGTCTTATAGCAGGTGGGCAGCCGGAGCCGGTGGCCAAGCCGGCGCCGCTCATGCTCAACCTACCGCTCAGCACGGAGGTTACGATCCCTACCAATCTGGCCTGTCCTATGATGACAACGCTCGTGACAGCCCTGATCGTGACCCTAACTCTCGGGACCGTGATAGTTGGGACAACCAGCAACAGCACCATGGCGGCCGCGATAACTTCCGCGAACGTCAAGACAGTCGTGATGGACGTGACGGACGTGACGGTAGAGATTCTCAGCAACATCATCGCGGTGATAAGCCGCATTGGAAAAACAAGAAGAACCGTGGCGATCGTAATGGCGACGAGATCCCAGATCATCTCAAGGGTATCAACCGCAGTCTGATTGGTACCAAGCAGTGCATTTTCTGGGCGCAGGGCAAGTGTGCAAAGGGCGATAAGTGCACTTTCAGGCATGACTAAGGGAGTTGGGAAAACTGGGTTATATATGGTTATGGTTCCGTGATAAGGGAGAGAGAGTGGGTGGTGAATTATATCCAGGAGGAAGGAAGGCTAGGCATTTACAGGTTCAAAGAAGTCTTGGGGAATGGGGAAAATGGATTATGGATGACTTTGAAGCACGAGTCATTAGAGAGCGGGGAATACAGTGTTTCGCATGCTATCTACAAATCTTATTTTACAAGTCAAGCGAAGCCTATTTTGAGGAAGAAGACCCGAGGTGAGGTCACACATCGGAGGAAAAGATCAGCTTTCTTCACATCAGATCACATCACATCACAGCAGCAGGTGTTTATATCAACCAACTTGGCCATCGAATGTTCGATTATCTGTCAAAATCAAGCAACATGGTTACTACCAACCACAGTCATGCTTCTTGAGTTAAATGACCACCGGACGAGTAAAAAAACGTAGCCTTGTGATGAAGAACAAGAACGGGACTGGGGGTAAGAAGCAGTTACCAGTGCTCCGTTCGGTATTTTGGATAATGGTTGTTCTAGACCATAGGTTAAGCTTTACTTACAGAAAGGGGGGAGGGGGGAGGGCCACCGTAAAAGGGAGGTAAGTAGTATGCTCGAAGAACAGGACTTCCATGAGAGTGAGAGGAAGTAAATGCGGCTTCATTTTGCATCTTGGGGGCTAAAAACTACACAATAGATAGACTAAGGTACCCGTAGTCTTGGAATAAACTTAATAGATTATTGTCGTTGATGTGGTTTCTTTCCCGTTGTTCACCCAGGTAAAAGGCAACAAGCAAGAGGGGAAGAACTGAACAGGGCTGAGAGAGAATAAAGGTGATGCATGGCTATTGTAGAAAGAAAGAAAAGCCTCTTCTTCTTCTTTTTTTCTTCTTTTTCTTTTTGCGAGGGGATACGTAAGTCGTGGTTGACTAGCTATGGGAGGAGGAGGAGGAGGAGTAGTAGCAAAGAAGAAGAAGAAGAAGAAGAAGAAGAAGAAGAAGAAGAAGAAGAAGAAGAAGAAGAAGAAGAGAAGAGAAGGCTATCATGATTTCATTAGCAAGATCGAATATCATCGGTTACCATCCGACATGGCCTAGATATACATGTCAGGTGCCCGTATCCAATATTCACTGCCAGTTTGGGTGGTTTTTGCGTTGCTATCCCATCCCATCCGCACCTATATCCAAGGTCCTCAGACCCTCATGTAAACAACTAAACCCTCGTGCAAAGAATAGACCAAACTGATCACACCTTGATTACGGCGGTGTTAGTGGTGGCGTTGATGTTAGCGATGATTGTGTTCTCTTGATGTGAATGTCTGTCTATGTGTGTGTGTGGATGTATCATAATGTGTTCCTCTCCCGTTTTCAAACCTTCGAACCTATGTTCTTTTTGCATCCTTCTACTGTACTTCCTATTCTACATATCTGAAGACGGTTAACAGCTGAGAAGGGGTTCAAGACGCCCTCCCGGCCGGATTACTTAGCAAGATGCTTAACGGGATGTTCACATACCTACGTGGTTTCAACATCACCGCCTCAATTCACAGTTGACAGTCAACATTTTTGTTCATAATCTACTTCTTACCTTACCTATGGGCTTTCACATTTCCACGTTGCCACACTTTCAAAAAACACACATAATCTCGGCTGTTCTTCAAATAACCGTACCTTTAAGGTGGTAGAGAGATAGAGAGGTGGAGACAGAGAGGTAAATAACTCGCATACTACTTTAGGTAGGAGAGAAGCACTCTACTTTAGTGGTCAAGAATCCGAGAAAAGAGTTGAAGAAAGGACTGGCTGACTAGATTAACGGACTACTTTGATTCCCAGCTTCCCGTGGGTTATGCATGTGAGATATTGATTGGATTTCGTCTGGTTGCGGTGCTGCTCAGACTTAGTTGGGGCATAGTCAACTCTGCAATCTCCCATGGATGTATTTACGTTGATAGTCTAGTTAGTGACTCGAGAAATGGGCGAAGACACATTCCCTGTCAAGGGTTTAGTTGTTTCAATAGGATGTGAGTTGACCCTGAAGGTGGAAAACATACCATTGATTCGTCTGACAGGAGCAGGGGTGATTGGTAGACAACCAGAAAGAAGTGTACCAGCACGAAAACAATGGTGCGAACTCGAGATTCATTGAAACGTTAGACTAGAGCGGTTGATAGCTGAGCACCCAAGATCGCTTGTCAAATGTAATAATGAACATACATTTGGCTGCGGAGAGTAACCCAGAGCCAAGCAGCCATATAAGCAATCAACTTGAAACCATCGACTATCACGAAAAGGGATCCCGTCGTCTGCCACGATGTTCGGAAGATTCGACAAAGTGGACCAAGTTTTGGGGTAGAGTATGCCATCAAACCCTTTACAAAACCAGTACAACTGACAACTGGCATCTATCATAGAAAGCCAGCAAGAAAAGACCATTTGAAAAACAGCAGCCAATGCCTTGTGCTCATGTAAAACCCAAACAAAGAGGTCAACCAGAACCAAGATCGCCATACCCATATCCTTCCAAACCCCTGAACCTTTCAAAGCTGGTCAAGCTGTCCACGAACACCACGTAATCTACTCAGACAAAGGTGGGTGCAGTGTAAACCAATGCGCCAAACATCATGGCGCCAGTAGCTACACCACCAAGGGCAACATAACCGATCCGCTCGGCAATATTGCGCAACCGCTGTCTCTTGGCTGGCCTATCACTGTCATCGTCGAGGCGAAGCGCACATGTAGCGAAAGAGACAGGTACATCGAGCGGGTGAATTACGATTACCTCAGCGGAAGCTTCCATCGGTTCGTTGACCTCCTCATCTTCAGTGGAAGATTTGATCGGTTCGGCAACCTCCTTGTCATTGTCGACTTCCATGACTTCGCCAGCGTCCCATGCAAGCTCTTCCTCGGTGGTAGACGAGATAGCCTCTGCCTTTCTCTTCCCTTTTCCAACTGGGACATCCTCATCCATGATGTCAGAGATAGCAAGACGAGAATACTCCTTGACAACGGGCGAAGGAGACTCCATCACGGCCACCTTGTTTTCCTTGCGAGCCTCAAAGAACTCTGCTTTGTCCGAGGGATACCAGTGAGCTTCTGTCATTTCCATCACAGGTTCAATCGCTGGCTTGTGGGTCGAGGAAGCTTCATCAGTATCACCCGCCGATTTGTTGGACTTGGGAGTAGCCAGCTGAACATCACGAGGATGGAATAAGGACAGAAACGCCCCAAGATCCGCTACTGGCTTATCTAGAAGAGAGGCGAAGTTGGCTGAAGGGGTACTGCAGGTGATGGCATCGCCATTCATATCCGGAGTAACAAGGCGACCGATGCCATGGCCCTTGTCGTGGTTTGGTTCAGCCTCGGTCTCCTCAGTCTTCGTTTCAGATGTCGGACCAGTCACAACACTGGCGAGGTCTGGGAGGTCCCAGTTGATTCCTCCTTCCTGTGACTCCGACTCTTCATCTGACTCCGACTCTTCATCTGACTCCTGGCCAACGGAGAAATCAGAATCAGACTCAGAGTAGGGGTAATCGTACTGGAAGCCTCTTTCTGAAGAATCATCATCTATAAGACAGTTAGAAACGACCGCCACTAGCAGATTATGATAGACTTACCACCACTCACGTCCGAGCCGACAGGCTCGGGATCATACTCAGGCTCATAATCGGAGCTCATGTCGGAGTCCAAATCATCATCATGAGGTGCAGCGCAGTTCTCGAAAGCGGTGGGATATTGAGATGCACTGGCGTTTTGAAATGCAGTGGGCTGGAGTGCAATGACGTTCTGGCGCAGATCATCTTCTCCATCCGATTCATAATTGCTACAGTTGCTGTCGATAGGGCTCCTCGGAGGTTGGGTAGATGGGATGTTCGGTTGCGACTGAGTGCAGTTATCTGCTTGGAGGGCATCGATCTCATCACTTGCACACCAGTCGCTCTCGTAGTCATCATCTTGATCCAGATCGATAACCTGTTTCTCAAGATTGGCGATTACATTGCCGGAGGTTACAGGGTGAGTAAGGTCGATTACATCGCCCATGCAACTAAGTCCAGATAGTCCTCGTCCGACTGATTGGATGCTTTGCGCTGACGAGTCGTTGTTGTAATCTTCGTCCATGTCGGAGTCTGACCCGTCGGGTACTTTGAAAGTACTTGAGGCCCTCGGACTATTCCACGTTAGCATCGCATGTCGAGAAATGATGACAGAGAGGCACTCGCTAGGTCATGTTGGTGCCTGCTGGGTTTGTGAAACTTACCGAGTACTATCTTGCTCTGGCTTCGCTTTAGGGGCCTCGATGTAGTCGAGCCCAACCTTGACAACTGTCGGAGGAAATATCCTTTTCCTCATGATGTCCACACCGAAGCGGATGCTATCACCGTCCTTAATCTCGACTTGCTGGTCTTTTTCAAGTCGTTGGTCGGTGTCATTAACATAGGTTCCATGGAGCGAACCAAGGTCCCTTAATTTGAGCCTCTGCAAGATGACCATGACATATGAGCAAATGAACAGCCAAACGGAATCGTTAGCAGGGGAGAGGAAAGCCAACCTTTTGTGTAAAATCGGCTATGATCTCGGCGTGTTGTCGAGACATTACAGCGCTGTCATACCAGCCGTTTTGCGAGTTCGGTACAAAGCCCTTCGCGGCGAGTTTGGACGATCGGCCAATCTTCAAAGTGGGATTCTGGATGTCTAACACGATATATCGCCGTGAAAATGGGTGGTCAGCGTACGGCTGTTGTGTCAACGAGATCGAGAAGACTGTGAGTACGTTAGCACTGGACCATCCGAGGACTCGTTAAGGAGGGGAAGCAGGTGTTGATTCTATCCTTGGTGAGTTGGTTTTGTGTGGACGTACCAGGCAATTTGCCGGTTGATGCCGGTTCAGGCTTCGCAGACATTGTGAATGTGGCAATCTGTAATCGGTACAATCCTGCGCTGTTTCCCCTGAGCGGGCTATGTGACCCGGTTTATTGTCCAAAAGAGCGACCGCACTGTCCAAAGCTGTGCAGAATCCGCCTGATCGAGGCAGGACTCCTGACTGCTGATGTGTCGAGAGAATCTTTCAAGGCAGCGGACAGGGGGCGCAATGCCAGATGCGATGCCAGAAGAAGCACAGAACTGAGTCGAGGAGGGAGGGAGAGACTGGAAGTGCGTGCGTGCAGTGCAGTGATGGTGGGGTGAGACGGTGCACTCTGGGTCGATGTTAACTCAAAAGGTCTGCAACAGGTGAAGGAATGATGACCAAACAAGATGCAGCTGCCCGTAGCTCAGATATCGAGATGCAGACAGTACAGCTGGAGCGCGGGGTCAAAGGTAGGTGATTCGGCTGCGAGTGTTGCAGTTCAAGCTGTCGCAGGAAGTGAGGTTGAAAAGGAACAAGAAGAAGGCGCAAATCGAAAGTGGAATGGATTCAGTTGGTTCAAGTTGTGTTGGATAAAGGAGGTTGCGACTGTCAAGAGACGGATTCGGTAGTCACACTTTCAAGGGTGCTTGCCCAGGCGACCGCCGACTTGCACCTCTCGAAATGGGAAAGAGCACTCCTCTTTACCATAGATAGCGAAGTGGAAAGTGCGGGGCCAGGGGGCTGCCTGATACACCGACCTCCATCTGGCCATGTCCACCTCGAGGACTCAGGTCACGGTACGTGTCGGGCAGCTTCTCCTGTTTCTTTCCATTGGTGATACCATTGTGTGAATGCAATGATTTGCTCTGATTATCGTGCTTCGTGGCAGCAAGTCACAGCATTCTCACTTCCTTTGTCCATCATGCCGTTGTTTACCTTGGCTGAAGTACTCGAGCCATAGAAGTTGTACCTAGGTACTCGAGCCGCACAACTAAGTAGGACGCATCTGCGAGGCACCAGGCCACCAGCAGGCAGAGGCAGGCAGACATCGAGTGTTACACAAGCCTCCGTTGAGCTTCCGTCGGATCTGTTTGTGCTCCGACCTTTCCCCCCTCTCCTCCTTTTCGTCCCTTCGTTCGTTTGCCAACGAGCCGGGCAGCAACTGAGTCAGACTGGATCCCTGTCGCAACCAAAATGGCACAAGCTGGTATTGATTACTACCGACACTCCAATATTCCTATGGCATTCATCGTCTGGCGGCTTGCAATCGGTCAACTCCAGTGTTGATCATGTTGGAAAGCCGACGAGTTGTCGTTGGTTGAGACTCACGATGCCCCACTCCCGTTGCATGCTCCCCAGGTGAGCGACGACGGCACTGGACGGGAGAGCTACGAAGTGCGGATAATGCGGAGCTACTGCTGGGAACAAAAGGACCGGGGAGAGCAGGGAGAGCAGGGAGAGCAGGGCGAACAAGGGGCGGGCAGCTCATAGCACGGGCAATGAGTGACGGCACGTTGGTGGGGAAGAGGGGCGTCGGTATCTTATCGCTTGCAAGGGCAGAGAGGGGGGATTCATCGATTCGAGACAGGACCTTTTTGCAGTTTCACAAACCCCATCGGGTGCTCCTCTTATTGAACTCACTAACTGGGATACGATTGATTTTCCTGTCTTTCCGAGGTCCATTACAACGGGAACACTGATGATGAATGCTCGTGTTGGGCTCGGATGTTAAAAAGACTTCCCCAGGCCGTAAAGGTGCTCAGTGACAACCGGAGGATCCAACCCTAACCGCTTTCGGTTAGTGCGGTCATGGCTCATATGCAAGCACTTTAACACATCCACGAGATGGATGGCAAGGCGCATTTCCTGGGAACGTAGACTAAACCCAATGCCCTCACCATCAACCGCGCAAAAACTTCCAGGCGCATTGCCAATTTCTTAGGGTAGTCAATGAAGCTACTGCTATCGTTATCGCTGTTGTCGCTGTTGTTACCGTTATCGTTGTCGTTGTCGTTGTCGTTATCGCTATCGTGAAGTGAAGGCCGTGTAAGTGCTGGGCTGGGGAAAGTACTGCAAATTCGCCCACAAATCCGAACCCTGACTTTCGTCACTTTCACCGAAGAGACCCGGTACTAGGGGTAATGTAATAGAATGGCGATAGAGTCAACGACAGCAACAGCGACTAAATAACGAC